CTGTTTGGTTAACTACCCATTCTCAAAAGATGGGTATTGGAGTCTGCTAACATTATTTCATTGTTGTCTTTTCTACCTACCAGTTTCTTTTCTTTTTTTCTTAATATTTATTTATTTACTTTTGGCTGTGCTGGGTCTTCGTTGCGGCACAGAGGACCTTCGTTGTGGCACGTGGGATCTTTTAGTTGTTGCATGTGGAATTCCTAGTTGCAGCATGTGGGCTCTTAGTTGCGGCGTGCATGCAGGATCTAGGTCCCCAACCAGGGGTGGAACCAAGGCCTCCTGCATTGGGAGTGTAGAGTCTTACCCAGTGGACCACCAGGGAATTCCACCTTCCAGTTTCTTAATATTTGCCTTACACATTTAAGTGCTCTGATGTTAGATTCATATTGTTTATGTTCTGTCCTCTTGATGAGTCAACACCTTTATCATTATTCAATGACTTTCTTTGTCTCTTGTGATAGGTTTTGAGTTAAAGTTTATTTTTCTGGCCTAAATGTAGGCTATTATAAGTATAAGGTACTGTTCTCTCGTTTCCATTTGTATTGAGTTTTTTTTCAGTTCCTTCTCTTTCAGCCTATTTGTGTCCTTAAAGCTGAAGCAAGTCTCTTGAAGACTTTATCCTCAGCCACTGTTTGTCTTTTGAATGGAGAGAATTTTCTAAGGACTTTGTAATGCCATCTTGTTAATTTTTGTACAGCTGATTTGTAGTTCCTTTGTTCCTTTTTTTCTTTCTCACTTTCTTCCTTTGTGATTTGATGGTTTTCGGTAGTGGTATGCTTTGATTCCTTTCTTTTTATCTTTGTGTATCTACTGTAGGTTATTGCTTTGTGTTTACTGTCTGGTTTGTGTAAAATATAACAGTATTTTAAGCTGATAACAACTTAATGTCAGTTCTATACAAAAAGTCTCCTTTTAGAATCCTCCTACACTGTTGGTGGGAATGTAAGTTGGTATAGCCACTGTGGAAAATATTATGGAGGTTCCTCAGAAAACTAAAACTAGAATTACCATTTGATCAAGCAATCCCACTCCTGGGCATATGTCCAGAAAAAATTATAATTCAAAAAGATACACACACCCAAATCTTCATAGCAGCACTATTCACAATAGCCAAGACATGGGAACAACCAAAATGTCCATCAACAGATGAATGGATAGAGAAGATGTGTGGTCCATATATAGAATGGAATACTACTCAGCCATAAAAAAGAATGAAATAGTGCCATTTGCAGCAACATGGATGCATCTAGAAATTATCATACTAAGTGAAATACATCAGAAAGAGAAAGATAAATACCGTATGATATCACTTATATGTGGAATCTAGAATATGACACAGATGAGCCTATCTATGAAACAGCAACAGAATTACAGACATAAAGAACAGACTAGTGGTTGCTAAGAGGGATGGTTTGGGGAAGGGATGGAGTGGGAGGTTAGCGGGTATAAGCTTTTATATATAGGATGGATAAACAAGGTCTTATTGTATAGCACAGAGAATTATATTCAGTATCCTATGATAAACCAGAATGATAAAGAATATTTTTAAAAAAGAATGCATATATATGTATAACTGAATCACTTTTCTATACAACTGTAATTAACACAACGTTGTAAATCAACTATACTTCAATAAGATAAAAATAAAAGGGAAAAAAAGTCCCATTTTAGTATCTCACCCCTGTTGCATTTATATTTTTGATGTGACAGTTTATATGTTTTTATACTTGTAGTCATTAAAAGTAATTGTTGGTGTAGTAATTTTTAATACTTTTGTATTTTATCCCTTATACTAGAATTAAGTGATTACCACACCACCATATTACAGTGTTAACATATTCTGAATTTGAGTATATACTTAACTTTTACCACTGTGCTTCGTATTTTCATATATTTTCCTGTTGCTAATTAGTGTCTTTTCCTTTCAGGTTGAAAAGCTCCATTTAGCATTTCTGGTAAGGCAGGTTGAATGGTGATGAACTCTCCCAGCTTTTGTTTATGTAGGAGAGTTTTTATCACTCCTTCATTTCTGAAGGACAGCATTGCCAGATAAATTATTCCTTAGTTGGCAGTTTTTTTCCTTCTGCATTTTGAATTTAATGTCCCACTCCTGGTCTGCATGGGTTCTGCTGAGAAATGTGCTTATAGCCTTACAGGCGTTCTCTTGTATGTGATGAGTTTCTTTTCTTTTGCTGCTTTCAAAATTCTTGGTCTTTGTCTTTTCAGACTTTCATTTTACTGTCTCAGTGAAGATCTTGTTGGATTGAATCTGGATGGGGACCTATGTACATCATGTACCTGCATATCCTCACCTCTCTATCTTGATTTGGTTGATTGTTTCCACCATTTTTTTATTTAAATAAGCTTTCTGCTCCTTTCTCCATTACTTCTCCTTCTGGCACTTCTACAATGTGAATATTATTTCCATTGATGGCATCCCATAATTTACATAGGCTTTCTTCAGTCTTTTATCCCTCTAGCTGGATGATTTGAAATCACCTGATTCAAGGTCATAGATTTTTCTCCTGCTTGATCAAGTTGGCTGGTCTCTGTTGTATTTTTCATTTCATTCATTGTGTTCTTCAGCTCCAAAATTTAATTCCTTTTTCTTTTTTTCTTTTCTTTTTTTTTGTATCTTGGAACTTCTTGTGGTTTTTTTGTTTGTTTGTTTTGGTCGCACCATATGGCATGTGGCATCTTAGTTCCTTGACCAGGGATGGAACCTGTGCCCCCTGCAGTGGGAGTGTGAAGCCCTAACCACTGGACTGCTAGGGAACTCCCATTCTTGGAACCTGTTGATTTGTTTGTGTATTTTTTTCCTACTTTGATTGAGTTACTGTTTGTGTTCTCCTGGAGCTGGCTGACCTTCCTTAAAACATTTATTTTGAAATCTTCGTCCAGTTGTTTATAGATATGAATTTCTTTGGATTCACTTGCTGGAAACTTACGTTCCTTTGGTGATGTCTTATTTCCTTGATATTCCATGTTTCTTAGAGCCTTTTGTTCATGTTTATGCATTTGATGGATCAGTCACATCATCCGGATTTTCAGACTGGTTTTGGTAGGGAAAGACCTTAACTTGGGTTGGTTACAAGGTCACTGGCTAGGTGGGGTGTGGCAGTTTGGGCTGTCATAAGGGACCAGCCATGTAATGGCTCTGCAGCTCTGTCAGCTCTAGGGACACCAAAGATTGTAGGGATTCTCAATAGCCAAGGCTGCAAGGTGAACTCACAGGTACCTTGCCCTGGTGAACCTGGAGGGTGTGACATCAGTACTGTGTTCAGATCATACCAGGAATGTTTCTCATTTACCCAGTATTTTTTTGGTTGTAGCTCGTGACACAGCCCATGTCTACTTTCCCTTCTCCACTGTTAATCCTGTGCTGACTAGTCAGTTTTACTCCACTGTGATACCTACTCTGACTTCCAGCCCAGGGATAAGCCCCATGTCTCTGGACTTCAAATCTCAGCCATTTCTCTCATACCTCCTCCTCTCTTGCTCTGCAACTTTGGTCTGCATGTGCTATGAGGTGTCCACACATCCTTAAATTGGCCTTGAACAGCAGCTATTCTACTGCAGTTGGTTTCTTCTGGGTTTGGACATATGCTTTCTACACAGCGTCACATCACGAGCAGAATAGGTCCTGCAGGAATCCTCTGGCATATGAACAAGTTCTAGAATATGCCTCTCTACTTGGTGCTGTACCCTATCCTAATGTCCTTCCCCTGGTGAAGTGTACCATTCTTTTGCCTTAGAGGCACAGTCATGCCCAGTAGCTACTTCCCCAGTGGAATTACAAATCTCCTTTCTGGAAAAGCATCCTGTAGAGTCATTCCTAGATATGACACATTACATTTATGATGATGTTGCTCCCTCCCTATAGAGTCAACATAAAGTTTATAAAGTTTATTTGCATGTATTTTACCACCATTTATTTGCATTTAGGTTGCTGCTGTGGAGCAGAGGCACTCTTTCAACGAAGCATTTCTATAAGCATGTCACTGGCCAGGACTCCTAAGGCACCTTCATTTTCCCAGAAGAATCACTCCAGTGAGACGTGTAGTCTGGTCTTGAGAAGTATTTTTCACTTGGCTGAGCGTGAAGAAACACAACACAGTCAGAAAGTGTTCCCGTGTAGAATATGTTTGAAGCAATTTCATTTTAGTGCAAACCTCCAAAAACACCAGAAGCAGCACATGGAAGAGAAATCTTTCAGTAATGCTGCAGTCAGGGCCTTGTTTGTGAAGAGCTGCAAATGCCATGTGTGAAGGAAGACCTTTACCTGTGAGGAAGTTGGGAAAGACTTTCTGGCCACCTTGGGACGTCTCCAGCAACAGACCACTCACACCAGGGAGAAGCCAAAAAAGATTGCCCAGCGTGAGGCAACTTTACAAAGCAGAGAAGTCATTACAGCTGGGGAGAATGCAAGAAAGCCTTCAGCCTGAAACATGCAATTGTTCAGGACTAGGGTGTCCACCCTGGAAGACACTGTTCTGTGTGCAGTGAATGTGGGAAGACATTCGGGTACAAATCCTCATTTGTTGTGCACCAGAGAGTGCATACTGGAGAAAGGCTTCACGTGTGTGGTGAGTCTGGCAAATCTTTCAGGCGAACCTCAACCCTCAATCTGCATCGAAGAATTCACACTGAAACAACGCAGTACAAGTGCAGCAAATGTGAGAAATCCTTTAACCAAAACTTTGTGCTTATTTATCCCTGGAGAAGACACATTGGAGAAAATTATTACCTGTGCAGTGAATGTGCACAGTTTCCTAGCTGTAGATCCATCATAGTTCAAGAACGGACATTTCACACTGGGGAAAGGCGTTATGAGTGTACTCAATGTTGGATATCTTTTAGATGAAAATTTTACCTAATTGTACACTGGAGAGTTCACACAGGAGAAAGGCCTTTTGAGTGCAGTGAGCATTGGAAATCCTTTAGTCATCAATCTTACCTCACTCAACACTGAAATGTTCATAGTGGAAAAAGGCCTTATGAATACAGTGAATGTGGGAAATCTTATACTTCTCACCCTGGCCTCTATTATCTTTAGAGAGATCACACAGGAGAAAGGCCTTATAAGTGTAGAGAGTGTGGGAAATCTTTTACCAGTAGGAGGAACCTTCGTTATCATCAGGGAGTTCATACAGAGTGCAGTGAATGTGGGAAATCTTTTCCATCTAGGTCCGGCCTCTTATCATCAGAGAGTTCACACAGGATTGAGGCCATATGAGTGTAGTGTGTATGGGAAGTCTTTTTCCAAGAGCTCTGTGATTACTGAACATCAGAGAGTTCACACTGGACATAGGCCTTATCAGCGCCGTGAATGTGGGAAGTCTTTTTTCTCTGGTTTCAACATCAATAATCATCAGAGAGTTCACACAGCAGAAAGGCCTTATGGGTGCAGTGAATGTGGGAAATGTTTTCCCTGTAATTCTATCCTTCATGAACATCAGAGAATTCACACAAGCAAAAGGCCTTATGAGCACACGGAATGTAGGCAGTCCTTTAGAGCAAATTCTTCTCTCCTTGAACACTGTAGAGGTCACACTGCAGAGAAGCCTTATAAATGCAGTGAATGTGGGAAATCTTTTTCATCTAGGTCTGGTTTCCGTTATCATCAGAGAGTTCACACAGGATCAGGGCCATATGAGGCTAGTGAATGCGGGAAATCTTTTCCCCAGAGCTCTGTACTCCTTCAACATCCGTGTTCACAGAGCTGAAAGGCCTTAAATGTGTTGTGAATGTTGGAAATCCTTTACCACTAGTTCCCCCCTTTGTTATAATCAGAGATTTCACAAGCAAAGCCTTATTCGTGTAGGGAATTTGAGAAACTTTCCTAAATAATTCAACTTATTATACATGGTAGAATTTGCACTGGAGAAAGGACTTGAATGTGCAAGGAAATGTGTAATTTTCTTGTTCAGGGTAACGACACTGGAAGAAACTGAGGAGCCACCCATCTGAATTCAATCTCATACATCCAGTTGTCCACAGGGGGAGATACCCCTTACGTTTAAGTTATGTGGGAAGCATTTGTGGCTGTATTGCACTTTGTAACCTGTCCAGGGCTTTTCCCAGATTTATGTCACTGTCTGTTTCTGTGGCTATTTTACCTGTGTCGCCTGGCAGGTCCACACAGTGTGCATCAGTCATCAGCCCAGTGCACTCAGGGAAACTGACCTCTGTTCTTCCAAATGTTGGAGCAAACTAGGAGTAGGTCAGTCCCTTTGGGGTTGGTGTTCCCCTCTCTCTGACTACGTGTACAAAAGACTGAAGGAATGTTGGCCCAGAGAACATCATAAGAATTCAGCTGACCATGTGCAGAGAAGGATAACCCTTTTCAGGGACATGTTCTCACATGATCAGTTTTTCCAGCTAGCAAGTCACCAACCCAAACTGTGTGCCACACATTGTTTTGGTTTGTATAATACGGGTGCCTTACTATTTAAGGCCTGTTTTGTTTGGGGAGTTCTGTGCACTGCAGGAGGTTTTTTATAAGGAGATTTGGGCTCCACAGGCATAGGCCTCAGGGAGGATAGTATGATGGCAAAAATTGGCTTGCCGTTTTTTTGGCCAAATTTGCATTGGTGCCAGTGAAGTCGTAGGAAAGAGGGCAGGGCTTTCTGGTCCTCATTTGAAGCCTGGATGCTATGAGTTTTAGGAGACTCAGACATCACCGTGAAGAGGAGTGAGATGTGACAACCTCAAGTTCTTGGAGCAGCATGAATTTTTTCCCGTGTTCACAGGGCGTATCACGAGAGATGTCAGCACTGTTGAGAGGACTCTCCTCCATTGGTTTTGCAAAGAGCATGTGCCCTGATGTCCACAATTCCATGGGTGACAGTCACTGGCTGTAAGACTATAGGGGTCAAGGGAAACTGAAACTGATACAGAAACTGGGTTAGTGGGAGCAGAGGAGACAGCAGCCAGCTCATTGGAATGTGCCTCTTCTAAAAGTGCATCCACAGATGTCTTTGTGACAGTGACCAATGTGCAGGATCAGCGTGTACACAAATCTCAGGACCTCCAGGCATGTTTATGTTGTGTAGCTGAGGTCATTGTCAGAAGAGATAATTGGAACGTTCTGTGGATTTTTGTAGCCTACCTGAAGTGTTTGCCTCAAGGCCATTGTTGCACAGGCAGGAAACGACAGGTAGAGAAAAGTAGTCCAGGGATGTGGCTCTTGTGAGCCAGCCAGAATTCCTGTTGACTGAAGTGGAAATGTCCTTTATTACTCGCCAGTATTTGCTGCCACTGAGGCAAGATGACACCCATAGGGCATGACTAGAAAGGTGGTGAAGCTAGTATAGTGTTGCCAAATCTGTTTTCCAAAAAAGTGGGACGTACAGATTTTCTTTGCTTGAAGTGTTTTTTAAAGCTTTATTTGGGTGTAATATACATGTAGAAAACTGTACATTTTTAAAGTGAAGTATTTGATAAGTTTTGACATACACATGATACCTGTGAAAACATCATCACAGTCATGGTAATGACCATATGTGTCACCATGTTTTTGCCTGATTTCCTTTTATAATCTGTCCCTGCCCTTCACAGCCCTCCAAGCAACCATTGATTTATTTTCCCTTGTAATAGATATCTTTACGATTTCTATAATTTACATGATGAAATCCTAAAACGTTTACTTTTGTTTTCTCCTGGTTTTGTGTTTTGTCATTATTTTGAGATTCATCAATGATGTTAAATGAGGAGCTCTTTTTTTTTTTCTGTGTTTTTGAGTAATATTCTTACCATTAGATATAACAGTATATATCCATTCACCTGTTTATAGCTATTTGGGATAATTCCAGGTTTTGACTGTTGAAAATAAACTAGTGCAAGTGTTTGTGTACAGTTTTTGTTTGTTTGTTTGGGGTTTTTTTTGCGGTACACAGGCTTCTCACTGTTGTGACCTCTTCCGTTGCGGAGCACAGGCACCGGACGTGCAGGCTTAGCGGCCGTGGCTCACGGGCCCAGCCGTTCCGCGGCATGTGAGATCTTCCCGGACTGGGGCACGAACCCATGTCCCCTGATCGGCAGGCGGACTCTCAACCACTGCACCACCAGGGAAGCCCTGTGTACAGTTCTTAATATGGAAATTTGTTTCCTTTATCTTTTGGTCCAAAAATTAGATTGCAGTGTTTGAGTTACAAAGTAGGTGTACGTTTAGCTTTTGAACAAACTAACAAATTGCTATCTAAACATTGTATTTTTTCTTTTTATAAAAAATTTTATTGGAGTATAGTTGATTTACCATGTTTTTTGGATTTTTTTTTTTTTTGTATTTGTAACAGTATTTGTATGAGGGTTCCATTTCTTCTACATCCTAGTGAATACTTAGTTGGTCAGTGGTTTTTTATTTTAACTCTTAATGAGGTTGCCGTGCTCTCTCACGGTTTGAATTGAATTTTCCTCAGAATTCATGATTAGCGTCCTTACAGATTTATATTTGCTATCTTTGGTAAAATGTCTCCTTTTATCTTCTGCCTATTCTTTTTTTTTTTTTTTTCCTTTGGCTGTGTTGCACAGCTTTCAAGAACTTAGTTCATCAAACAAGGATTGAACCTGGACCCTTGCAGTGAAAGCTCTGAGTCCTAACCACTGGACTGCCAGGGAATTCCCTCTTAAGCCTATACTTTGATTAGTTTGGGCTATTTTCCTTTTCTTTAACGACTAGGACAGTGAAACAACAGATACCCATTTTGCTCGTTCTTGAGTGACTGCTTTATGGAATAATTGGTTTCAGTACTTGAAGAACATGTCTTGAGTTTTTTCAGTGTTTTTGTTACACACAGTGTAATGCACACATGTACCATACATTATAAGATTAATCTGCCAGGAGAATTTACTATTAGTTCTAAGTATACTTGATGAATGACACCCTGCCCCTAGCCTCTTTTTTTGAGCATTTATTAAGAAGAGCTTATAATTGTATATATGTTTCTCAAAGACCTGAGAGCTAATCCTTTGAAATGTAAGCATTAGGATCAATTAGGCCTCTGTCTCTCAGTCTCTTAGGAAGGATAGAATCCTAGTTTTCATAATTACCAGCTATCAAACACAGCTGAACTAATCTCGTTTATATTTCCCAGCCCTTTTTAGTGTTTCAGTTCCGTGAATACTGAGTTCCCATCCTTCCTGTTTCCTTATTCTCCCTTTATTTTTAAAAAAACTTTCTTAACATATTTTTCTTAATCTTGAAGGTGTTTTTTTTTTTTAGCTGCGCCACATGGCTTTTGGGATCTTAGTTCCCTTATCAGCGATTGAACCTGTGCCCCCTGCAGTGGAAGTGTGGAGTACTAGCCACTGGGCTCCCAGGGAATTCCCCTCATTCTCCCTTTAAAACACCTGATCACCTCTGCAGAAATTACGATTGAGTTCAACTCTTTTTCCTGTTGTCAGTATTTATTGAATAAAATATGTTTTTTTCCATTTTTGTTTTTATTGTTTCAGTTAACATCTAGCTGTGTTTTTCTTTGACACCATCAGTCTCAAAAGGGAACAAGGAAACATGCTAATTTGGTACATAGTACAAAGGCTGCATTGTTTAAAGATGGAACATGTATGAGAATGGTCTTCTGAGTCTTGAACTATCTCATTGGGTTACCAAACTCAGGTTTGGCTGCTCACAGCTGAAAACCCATAATGGAGTTGGAAGTGTCAGTAGAAACGAAAGATGTTTTAATCAGAAAAGGCGGCAATCTGGAGAGAAGGTGGACTCATGTCCCGAGACCAACTTTGAAAATTCTGGTCAGCCATTCAGCCATGACAGGTTTTTTTTGTTTGTTTGCTTTTGGCCACACAACATGTGGGATTTTAGTTCCCTAACCAGGGATGAACCCATGCCCCCTGAAATGGAAGTGTGGAGTCTTGATCATGGGACCACCAGGGAATTCCCAGACATGACAGGTTTTAAAGGGAAAAAGTGGGGAAGAATCTCAGTGAATCGTAAAGGCAGGAAGTTGGTTTCTGCATCATTCTCCATTGCATTCAGACTGGCTGACTCTTCGGATGTCTTGCCTGTGAGGTCTGCCTGCAGGATTGCTTAGGGAGCTGTTGGGGTTATTCTTCATTCTTTGTTTTTTTAAAGATTTTTTTTGGTCGGTTCGTTGGTTTATTTATTTATTTTTGACTGTGTTGGCTCTTCATTTCTGTGCGAAGGTTTTCTCCAGTTGCGGCAAGCAGGGACCACTCTTCATCGCAGTGCGCGGGCCTCTCACTATCGTGGCCTCTCTTGTTGTGGAGCACAGGCTCCAGACGCACAGGCTTAGTAGTTGTGGCTCACAGGCCTAGTTGCTCCACGGCATGTGGGATCTTCCCAGACCAGGGCTCGAACCTGTGTCCCCTGCATTGGCAGGCAGACTCTCAACTACTGCGCCACCAGGGAATCCCAAGATTCTTTTGATGTTGACCATTTTTGGACGTCCTTATTGAATTTGTTACAGTATTGCTTCTGTTTTATGTTTTGGTTTCTTGGCTGCAAGGCATGTGGGATATTAGCTACCTGACCAGGGATTGAACCCACACTCCCGGCATTGGAAGGCGAAATCTTATCCACTGGACCACCAGGGAAGTCACAATTCTTACTTTTTTTAATTGAGGAAAAGAATGAACAGGTTAGACAAGGTGTGGTGTGCATTCAGGAGAGTATAATTCAGGAGTTAGTTTAAATTGTTTAGTGATCTCATTCCTATAATTAGGTTCTTTCAAGGTGAGGGGGGACAGAAATGGGCAAACAGGAAAGGGACAAAAGAACCACTTTCAAATGTTGGGAAGTGATTACTTTGTGATTGCAGGGACTTACATAGTTGGGAATTTGTATTATCTGTGTTAGCGTTCTCCGTAAAAACAGAAGCAGTAGGATATATAGATACAGTTCCATATCTGCGAAAAAATATGTTTTATTGGAGAGAAAAAGTCTTGGGAATACTCTGAGTTGGAAAGGTACATGTGGAATTCAAAGAACTGAAGGAAGATCACTGCCTTTTGAAGATAACGTGTAATGGGGACAGCGGGTAGCAAAGAAGCAGAGAAAGTAGGTGTCTGAGGTTATCTCGAGGATCAAAATGATCCCAGTTTGTTAGGGAGATGATGACACTGTGAGGGATTAATCAGGTAGATCAAATAATCATACTTGCTTATGGTAAAAAGTACTAAGTATTGAATTGAAATACATTTATGAAACTACACTTTAAAACCTTTTAATGTTTATTTCAATTGGAAGCTTTCTGTTTTTTAAGTTCTTAGTAGTAACGTATTTACAGAATAGAGTATTATGTGTGCAGGTTTTGGATGTTATGTTTTTACGAATGTCACTTTTAGAAATTATTGTGAGCCATTTACACCTGCAGGATACTTTCAAATAGTTGAATTCTCTTTGCCTGTTTATCCCACATCTTTTCATAACTTCATTGCATTTCATTACCACTAACATTTATTAAGATAATGATTTTCATATGTTGAAGTCCTAATGCTTTAGTGACTGTATTTGGAGACAGGACCTTTAGAGAAGTATTTATGGTTAAATGAAGTCATAAGGGTGGGGCCCTAATTCATTAGGACTGGTTTCCTCATAGGAGGAGAGGTAGACACTAGGTGTATGCCCACAGGGACAAAAGGCCATTTGAAGACATGGTGAGAAGATGGCCATCCCAAGCCAAGGAGAGAGGCCACAGGAGATACCAAACCTGTTGACCTTCCTCTCAGACTTCCAGCCTCCAGAAGGGTGAGAAAATAAGTTTCTATGGTTTAAACCAGCCCATCTATGGTACTTTGTTATGGCAGTTCTAGCAGATTAACACAAACATCATTAATGTGTTCTCTTTGCCAAATAAATAGTGAGGCTCAACATTCAAAGAGACAGGAGAGAAAATTGGTATAATTCGAAAAATGGTGGAAAACTATAAATTAGCTTTGAGGGGAAGGGAATTTAATATGGAGTTTCCTAGTTTGTTTCCACTACTGTTGAAAACCAGAAATTAGCTCCAATTTTCGAAGTCTGAAAAGAAGCCCAGTAGAGAAAGTCAGGCTTTTAAACTCAGAATCACTCTTACTTTCCTACAGTGTGTTGTGGGTTACAGCTGTTATGGAGTAACAGGGTCTGACTTACCCTCCTCTTGTCATGAACTGTAAAACTACAAACTAGAGGAGTGGCTCCCTGCAGGCATTGGAGAAACAGTGCGGGGCTATAACCCTGAAGGAACAGGATAGCACTCCAGGTCAGATCACATCCTCCCATCCTCCAGCCAGGGCATTTTCCAGACCTGCACAGGGAAGCAGAGCCCAGAGAGCAGAAGGTGGAGACAACAGAGCTCAGGGCTAGGCAGTCAGCAGGAAATCCTGTAGCAGAGTCCTCTCAGGGAGAGCCCTCCTTGGTTGGGCAGTGGTGGGTGGGAGGGAATCTGAAGCTTTAGGCCAGCCTTTGTCAGTCCCACTCCCCACAGAGATGGAGACCCTCTGTCTCACATCAGTCATCAGGTGCACACTGGTGCTTCATAGGCTTGAGCCCCTACTTCTCCCTCCAGAGGCTGATGCCCACATGTTAGCCCCCAAGCATGTAAGGACGTTTTCAGGAACGGATCTGCAGGGCAAGATGCAGCCAGCAGGAAGTGCCTCCTCCCACCCGTACCCCCCCAACTCTGTACTGGGCACGACAGCCAAACCTGACCTCAACTAGTGAGGCGGTACAGCCTACCTCAAGAAACAAAAATCCCAAATAAACAATCTAAACTTACACCTGAAGGGGCAATAAAAAAATAAATGAAACCTAAAGTTAGTAGAAGGAAGAAATTATAAAGATCATAGCAGAAATAGATAAAATAGAGACTGTAAAGACAATAGAAAAAAATCAAAGAAACTAAGAGCTTGTTCTTTGGAAAGATAAACAAAATTGACAAACTGTTAGCTAGACTCACACACAAAAGAGGGAAGGCCCTGATAAAACCAGAAACAAAAGAGGGAAAATAACAGATACCACAGAAATACAAAGGATTATAAGAGACTATTATGAATATCTATACACCAACTAATTGGATAACCTAGAAGAAATGGACAAATTCTTGAAATCATACAACCTTCCAAGACTGAATCAGGAGGAAACAAAATCTAAATAAAGCAGTCATTAGTACAGAGAATGAAACAGTAATCAAAAAGCTCCCAAAGCCAATCCAGGACCATACAGTTTCACAGGTGAATTCTACCAAATGTTCAAAGAAGATTTAATACTTACCCTCCCCAAACTACTCCAAAAAATTGAGAAGGATAAACTTTTTTTTGGCCACGCCATGCGGCTTGCAGGATCCCAGTACCCCAACCAGGGATTGAACCCAGATCCTCAGCAGTGAAAGTGAGGAGTCCTAACCACTGGATTGCCAGGAAATACCTCTGAACTAATTTTATGAAGCCAACATCAACCTGATACCAAAACCAAAGACAACACACTGAAAAAGGCCAATATCTGTGATGAACATACATGGAAAAGTCCTGAAAAAATTTTAGCAAACTCAATTCAACAGTTCATCAAAAGGATCATACACCATGATTAAGTGGGTGTTATACCAGGGACAGAAGGATGGTTCAACATCAACAAAATGAAGGATAACCATCTGATCATCTCAATCGATGCAGAAAAAGCATTCAACACTATTCGACATCCATTCATGGTAAAAACATACAACAAAGTGGGTTACAGGGAACATACCTCAACGTATTGAAGGTCATATATGACAAGCTCACAGTTAACATCATATTCAATGGTGAAACCTGAAAACTACTCCTTTAAGACAGGACCAAGACAAGGATGTCTACCCTTGTCACTCCTATTCAGCGTAGTATTAAAACTTCCAGATCCATTTTTATCCTTTTAGAGGATTTCAGGGGCTTGATTTTTCTTATCAGATAAATAAGGAAACTTTAAAATAAAATTGGCTGTTTATCATTACACTCATAAGTGATTTTTCACATAACCTGCTTTTCCAACATCAGGACCTTCATACATATGAATTTATTTATTTATTTATTTTTTTTTTTTTTTCGCGGTACGCGGGCCTCTCACTGTTGTGGCCTCTTCCGCTGCGGAGCACAGGCTCCGGACGCGCAGGCTCAGCGGCCATGGCTCACAGGCCCAGCCGCTCCGCGGCATGTGGGATCTTCCCGGACCAGGGCACGAACCTGTGTCCCCTGCATCGGCAGGTGGTCTCTCAACCACTGCGCCACCAGGGAAGCCCCACTTGGTTTATTTTATCAATATTAACCCTTTGTCTTTCATAGTCTGAAAATTTAAAGTTAATATTTCAAATGTCATTATTTCCATAATGAACAAATATTGAAAAACAAATGTTTTCCCTCTATTTGCTAAAACTTTATCCTTTGTTTTTTTTAGGGCACCACTCTTCCTTATATTACACTACTTAGCCTTCAAATTTCAGAGAGTATTACAAATGAAGTCTCTTTGACTCTGTTTTCTCATCATTTTACCCAAGCCATGGTCAACAGCTTCAAGAGATGTAAGTCAAAGGAGTAGAGTTAACCACGGGGGTAGAGTTGCAAACTGGAGAAGACAAGATACAACTAAGTTTACTGTTGTTTTGCAGATCTGATTAATTTTTCACTCTGTTAAGAAGGTTATCAAATCCAGATTTTTTAAAATTGGACTTTATTTTTAAGAACAGTTTTAAGGGACTTCCTTGGTGGTCCAGTGGTTAAGACTCCATGCTCCCAGTGCAGGGGACCCGGGTTCAATCCCTGGTCGAGGCACTAGATCCTTCATGCAGGCCGCAACTAAGAAGCTCATGTGCTGCAGTTAAGACCCTGCACAGCCATAAATAAATAAATAATTTTTTTTTTTTTTTTAAAAAACACTTTTAGGTTCCCAGCAAATCCAAGTGGAAGGTACAGGAGAGTTCCCATGTACCCCCTTCCCCCACATAAGCAGAGCCTCCCTGACTGTCAACATCCCACACCAGAGTGGGACATTTGTTACAATCTATGAATCTGTACTGACACATCATTATCACCCAAAATCCACAGTTGACATTAGGATTCACTCCTGGTGGTGTGAATTCTGTGGGTTTTGACAAATGTATAATGACATGTATCCACCTTTACAGTATCATACAGCGTAGGTTCTGCCCTAAAAATCTGTGCTCTGCCTCTTCATGTCTCCTTCCCACTTAACCTGTGTCAAGCCCTGATCTTTTTACTCTCTCTACAGTTTGTTATTTTCTAGAATGTCATATATTTGCAGTCATACAGTATGTACCCTTTTCAGGTTGGCTTCTTTCACTTTGTCATATGCATTCAGGTTGTTTTATTTTTGAAGTTTTGAATTTAATTTATTTTTTTATACAGCAGGTTCTTATTAGTTATCTATTTTATGCATATTAGTGTGTATATATGTCAACCCCAATCTCCCAATTCATCCCACCACCGCGACCACCACCACCACCACCACCACTGCTTTCCCCCTTGGTGTCCATACGTTTGTTCTCTACATCTGTGTCTCTATTTCTGCCCTGCAAATCAGTTCATCTGTACCATTTTTCTAGATTCCACATGTATGTGTTAATATACGATATTTGTTTTTCTCTTTCTGACTTGCTTCACTCTGTATGACAGTCTCTATATCCATCCACGTCTCTACAAATGACCCAATTTTGTTCCTTTTTATGCTAATATTCCATTGTATATGTGTACCACATCTTTATTCATTCGTGTGTCGATAGGCATTTAGGTTGCTTCCATAACCTGTCTATTATAAATAGTGCTGCAATGAACATTGGTGTGCCTGTGTCTTTTTGTTTTGTTTTTAATTAAATTATTTTATTTTTGGCTGCATTAGGTCTTCATTGTTGTGTGGGGGCTTCTCGTTGCGGTGGCCTCTCCCTTTTTTCCACATCCTCCAGCATTTTTTATTTGTAGATTTTCTGATGATGCCCATTCTAACTGGTGCGGGGTGATACCTCATTGTAGTTTTGATTTGCATTTCTTTTTGTTTTTAATTTTATTTATTTATTTTTGGCTGCATTGGGTCTTCGTTGCTGCATGCAGGCTTTCTCTAGTTGTGGTAAGCGGAGGCTACTCTTCGTTGTGGCACACGGGTTTCTCATTGCAGTGGCTTCACTTGTTGCGGAGCATGGGTTCTAGGCATGCAGGCTTCAGTAGTTGTGGCATGTGGGCTCACTAGTTGTGGCCTGCAGGCTGCAGTGCCCAGGCTCAGTAGTTCTGGCGCATGGGCATAGTTGCTTTGTGACATGTGGGATCTTCCCCAACCAGGGATCGAACCCATGTTGGCAGGCAGATTCTTCACCACTGCACCACCAGGGAAGCCCTTGCATTTCTCTAATAATTAGTGATGTTGAGCAGATTTTCATGTGCTTCTTGACCATCGGTATGTCTTTTTTGGAGAAATGTCTGTTTAGGTCTTCTGCCCATTTTTTGATTGGGTTGTTTGTTTTTTTAATATCGAGCTGCATGTGCTGTTTATGTATTTTGGAGATAAATCTTTTGTCCATTGATTTGTTTGCAAACATTTTCTCCCATTCTAAGGGTTGTCTTTTCATCTTGTTTGTAGCCTCCTTTGCTTTGCAAAAGCTTTTAAGTTTCATTAGGTCCCATTTGTTTATTTTTATTTCCACTACTCTAGGAGGTGGATCAAAAAAGATCTTGGTGTGATTTATGTCAAAGAGGTTCTTCCTATGTTTTTGTCTAAGAGTTTTATAGTGTCTGGTCTTAACATTTAGGTCTCTAATCCATTTTGAGTTTACTTTTGTGTATGGCACTAGGGAGTGTTCTAATTTCATTCTTTTACATGTAGCTGTCCAGTTTTCCAAGCACAACTTATTGAAGAGACCGTCTTTTCTCCATTGTATATCCTTGCCTCCTTTGTCATAGATTAGTTGATCATAAGTGCGTGGGTTTAGCTCTGCCTTTTCTATCCTTTTCCATTGATCTCTATTTCTGTTTTTGTGCCAGTACCATATTGTCTTATTATAGCTTTGTAGTATAGTCTGAAGTCAGGGAGTCTGATTCCTGTAGATCCGTTTTTTTCCCTCAAGACTGCTTTGGCTATTCGGGGTCTTTTGTGTCTTCATACAAATTTTAAGAATTTGTGTTCTAGCTCTGTAAGAAATGCCACTGGTAATTTGATAGGGATTGCATTGAATCTGTAGATTGCTTTGGGTAGTATAGTCATTTTCACAATATTGATTCTTCCAATCCAAGAACATGGTATATCTCTCCATCTGTTTGTGTCATCTTTGATTTCTTTCATCAGTGTCTTATAGTTTTCTGAGTACAGGTCTTTTGTCTCCTTAGGTAGGTTTATTCCTAGGTATTTTATTCTTTTAGTTGCAATGGTGACTAGGATTGTTTCCTTAATTTCTCTTTCTGATCTTTCGTTGTTAGTGTATAGGAATGCAAGAGATTTCTGTGCATTAATTTTTTTTTTTTTTTTGCGGTACGCGGGCCTCTCTCTGCTGTGGCCTCTCCCGTTGCGGAGCACAGGCTCCGGACGCGCAGACTCAGCAGCCATGGCTCACGGGCCCAGCCACTCTGCGGCATGTGGGATATTCCCGGACCGGGGCACGAACCCGTGTCCCCTGCATCGGCAGGCGGACTCTCAAGCACTGCGCCACCAGGGAAGCCCTGTGCATAAATTTTGTATCCTGCTACTTTACCAAATTCATTGATTAGCTCTGGTAGTTTTCTGGTGACATCTTTAGGATTCTCTATGTATAGTATCATGTCATCTGCAAACAGTGACAGTTTTACTTCTTTTCCAATTTGTATTCCTTTTATTTCTTTTTCTTCTCTGATTGCCGCAGCTAGGACGTTGAATAATAGTGGCGAGAGTGGACATCCATGTCTTGTTCCTCATCTTAGAGGAAATGCTTTCAGTTTTTCACCATTGAGAATGGTATTTGCTATGGGTTTGTCATTTATGGCCTTTATTATGTTGAGGTAGGTTCCCTCTATGCCCACTTTCTGGAGAGTTTTTATCATAAAATGGTGTTGAATTTTGTCAAAAGATTTTTCTGCATCTATTGAGATGATCATATGGTTTTTGTTCTTCAGTTTGTTAATATGGTGTATCACATTGATTGATTTGTGTACATTGAGGAATCCTTGCATCCCTGGGAAAAATCCCACTTGATCATGGTGTGTGATCCTTTCAATGTGTTGTTGGATTATGTTTGCTAGTATTTTGTTGAGGAGTTTTGCATCTATATTCATCAGTGATATTGGTCTGTAATTTTCTCTTTTTGTAGTATCTTTGTCTGGATTTGGTATCAGGGTGTTGGTGGCCTCATAGAATGAGTTTGGGAGTGTTTCTTCCTCTGCAATATTTTGGAAAAGTTTGAGAAGGATGGGTGTTAGCTCTTCTCTAAATGTTTGATAGAATTCACCTGTGAAGCCATGTGGTCCTGGACTTTTGTTTGCTGGAAGATTTTTAATACAGTTTCAATTTCATAACTTGTGGTTGGTCTGTTCATATTTTATATTTCTTCCTGGTTCAGTCTTGGAGGTTTTATACCTTTCTAAGAATTTCTCCATTTCTTCCAGGTTGTCCATTTTATTGGCATACAGTTGCTTGTAGTTGTCTCTTATGATGCTTTGTATTTGTGCAGTGTCCATTGTAACTTCTCCCTTTTCATTTCTAATTTTATTTATTTATTTCTTTTTGGCTGCATTGGGTCTTCATTGCTGTGCGCAGGCTTTCTGTAGTTACACCAAGTGGGGGCTACTCTTCATTGTGGTGTGCAGGCTTCTCATTGTGGTGGCTTCTCTTGATGCAGAGCACGGCCTCTAGGCTCTTGGACTTCCGTAGTTGTGGCTTGTGGGCTCTACAGCGCAGGCTTAGTAGTTGTGGCACATGGGCTTAGTTGCTTCGCGGCATGTGAGATCTTCCCAGACCAGGGCTCGATCCCATGTCCCTTTAATTGGCAGGTGGATTCCTAACCACTGCACCACCAGGGAAGTCCCTCTAATTTTATTGATTTGAGTCCTCTCTTTTTCTTGATGAGTCTGGTTAAAGGTTTATCAGTTTTATTTACCTTCTCAAAGAACCAGCTTTTAGTTTTATTGATCTTTGCTCTTGTTTTCTTTGTTTCTATTTCATTTATTTCTGCTCTCATTTTTATTTCTTTCCTTCTACTAACTTTGGGTTGTGTTTGTTCTTCTTTCTCTAGTTCCTTTAGGTGTAAGGTTAGATTGTTTATTTGAGATTTTCTTGTTTCTTGAGGTAGGCTTGTATTGCTATAAACTTCCCTCTTAGAAATGCTTTTGCTGCATCCCATAGGTTTTGGATCATCATGTTTTTGTTGTAATTTGTCTCTAGGTAGTCTTTGATTTCCTCTTTGATTTCCTCAGTGATCCCTTTGTTATTTAGTAACATACTGTGTAGCCTCCATGTGTTTGTGCTTTTTACGTTTTTTTCCCTGTAATTGATTTCTAATTTCATAGCATTGTGGTCAGAAAAGATGCTCAATATGATTTCAATTTTCTTACGTTTACTGAGGCTTGATTTGTGACCCAAGATGTGATCTATCCTGGAGAATGTTCCATGTGCACTTGAGAAGAAAGTGTAATTTGCTGTTCTTGGATGGAATGTCCTATAAATATCAATTAAATCTATCTGGTCTATTGTGTCATTTAAAGCTTCTGTTTACTTTTTAATTTTTTTCTGGATGATCTGTCCACTGGTGTAAGTGAGGTGTTAAAGTCCCCCACTATTACTGTGTTACTGTCGATTTCCTCTTTTATAGCTGTGAGCAGTTGCCTTATGTATTGAGGTGCATATATATTTATAATTGTTATATCTTCTTCTTGGATTGATTCCTTGATCATTATGTAGTGTCCTTCCTTGTCTCTTGTAACATTTTTTATTTTAAATTCTATTATATCTGATATGAGTATTGCTACTCCAGCTTTCTTTTGCTTTCCATTTGCATGGAATATCTTTTTCCACCCCCTCATTTTCAGTCTGTGTGTGTCCCTAGGTCTGAAGTGGGTCTCTTGTAGACAGCATATATATGGGTATTGTTTTTGTATCCATTCAGCGAGCCTGTGTCTTTTGGTTGGAGCATTTAATCCATTCACGTTTAAGGCAGTTATCAATATGTATGTTCCTATTACCATTTTCTTAATTGTTATGGGTTTGTTTTTGTACGTCCTTTTCTTCTCTTGTGTTTCCCACTTACAGAAGTTCCTTTAGCATGTTTTGTAGAGCTGGTTCATGGTGCTGAATTCTCTTAGCTTTTGCTTGTCTGTAAAACTTTTGATTTCTGCATTGAATCTGAATGAGATCCTTGCTGGGTAGAGCAATCTTGGTTGTAGGTCCTTCCCTTTCATCATTTTAAATATATCATGCCACTCCCTTCTGGCTTGTAGAGTTTCTGCTGAAAAATCAGCTGTTAACCTTATAGAAGTTCCCTTGTATGTTATGTATCATTTTTCCCTTGTTGCTTTCAATAATTTTTCTTTGTCTTTAATTTTTGTCAATTTCATTTCTGTGTGTTTTGGCATGTTTCTCCTTGGGTTTTTCCTGCCTGAGACTCTCTGTGCTTCCTGGAGTTGGGTGGCTGTTTCCTTTCCCATGTTAGGGAAGTTTTCAACTGTGATCTCTTCATATATTTTCTCGGGTCCTTTCTCTCTCTTCCCCTTCTGGGACCCCTATAATGCAAATGTTGTTGCGTTTACTGTTGTCCCAGAGGTCTCTTAGGATGTCTTTATTTCTTTTCATTCTTTTTTTTTATTCTGTTCCGTGGCCGTGAATTCCACCATTCTGTCTTCCAGGTCACTTTATCCATTCTTCTGCCTCAGTTATTCTGCTATTGATTCCTTCTAGTTTATTTTTCATTTCGGTTATTGTATTGTTAATCTCTGTTTGTTTGTTCTTTAATTCTTCTAGGTCTTTGTTAAACATTTCTTGCATCTTCTCAATCTTTGCCTCCATTTTTATTCCAAGGTCCTGGATCATCTTCACTATCTTTACTCAGAATTCTTTTTCTGGAAGGTTGCCTATCTCCACTTCATTTAGTTGTTTTTCTGGGTTTTTATCTTGTTTTTTCATCTAGTACATAGTGCTCTGCCTTTTCATTTTGTGTATCTTTCTGTGAATGTCACATTCAGGTTTCCTCCATGTCCTTTCATGACTTGGTAACTCATTTCTTTTTAGTGCCGAATAGTGTTTCATTGTATGGACCACAGTTTATTCATCCATTCACCTACTGAAGGACATCTTGATGATTACCTTTAAGCAATTAAGAATAAAGCTGCTATAGGAACTTCCCTGGTGGCACAGTGATTAAGAATCTGCCTGCCAGTGAAGGGGACACGGGTTTGAACCCTGGTCTGGAAAGACCCCACATGCTGTGGAGCAGCTAAGCCCGTGTGCCACAACTACTGAGGCTGTGCACCCCAACTACTGAAGCCTGTGAGTCTAGAGCTTGTGCTCTGCAACAAGAGAAGCCACCACAATGAGAAGCCTGTGCACTGTAATGAGTAGCCCCTGCTCACCACAACTACAGAAAACCCACACGCAGCAATGAAGACCCAACTTGGAGAAAAAAAATCTGGTGTAAACATTCATCTGAGGATTTTGTGTGGACATAAGTTTTCAACTGCTTTGGGTAAATACCAAGGAGCTCCATGCCAAACTATATGATAAGAGTATGATGAGTTTTATAGGAAACTGCCAAACTGTCTTCCAAAGTGGCTGTACCATTTTGCATTCCCACCAGCATTGAATGAGAGTTTCTGTTGCTCCATATCCTCATCAGCATTTGGTATTGTCAGAGTTCTGGATTTTGGCTATTTCTAAAAGACATGTAGTGATACTTCGTTTTAATTTGAAATTCCTAATAACAAATGATATTGAGCACCTTTTCATATGCTGTTTGCCATCTATATCTCTTCTTTTGTGAGGTGTCTGTTTATTGTTATATAAAGAAAAACAACAGCAAAACAAGTTTATTAACCACATTTACGTGAACAACAATTTTTTGTCTTCTTTTTTGGCTGCACTAGACCGCATGCAGGATCTTAGTTCCCCGACCAGGGATGGAACCTGTTTCTCTGCAGTGGAAGCACGGCATCTTAAGCACTGGACTGCCAGGGAAGTCCCAACAGCAATTGTTTTAAACCATCTAAAATTTAGATGCTTCCAAAGAATTCAAATTAGGATTCATCATAGCATCACATCCTTCAGATTCATATTTTACTTGTTTAAGTTAATGGTCAATAAATTATTAAACTGTTTTTATATTTACTTATTTTATTTATTTATTTTATTTTTTGGTTGCATCAGGTCTTAGTTGCAGCACACAGAATCTTTCATTGCGGTGCACGGGCTTTTCTCTAGTTTTTGTGCACAGGCTCCAGAGTGCACAGCCTCTGTAGTTGTGGCACGAGGGTTCCAGAGCACATAGGGTCTGTAGTTGAAGCACGTGGGCTCTCTAGTTTTGGTGTGCAGGGTCAGTAGTTGCAGCATGGGGTCAGTAGTTGTGGCATATGGTCTTAGTTGCCCCATGGAATGTGGGATCTTAGCTCCCTGACCAGGGATTGAACTGGCGTTGCCTGCATTTCAAGACTGATTCTTAACCACTGGACCACCAGGGAAGTCCCAGTCAATAAATTATTAAATAACAAATGGTTAATTTGAACTAGAATTTAGGGGACATCTAACTTTTGATGAAGTACAGACTAGTTATCATGATTATATGCTAACAAATAAAATATTTCTGGCAGGATACACAGTAGTTGATAACAGAACTTAACTCCTGTATTATAGAGGATGGGGGAGTAAACAGAAGAATGAGGAAATAGCATTTTATGTATATGCACTTAAATCTACTCAAAATTTTCTAAACAAAATGTCTAGGTTTTATAGTACACATTGAAAAAATAGTCAGGAAAACACTGGTAAAACAAAACAAAAAAATGTGTGTGGGGGTATGTATGAAATTAATCAATACATGCAAATTATAGAAAGATATAGAGAATTATAATAAAGAGAAATTACATAAATGAATTTAAATAATGAGATACATCATTTAAATGGGAGTGAGCACCACAAAGTTTGAGTAATTACAAGAGATCACAAAAAATCTTTGAATCCTGGACCAGTTGTGGCCACATGTCTCATCCCCATTAAAAACTGCAGTCATTCATGAAAAATATGTAGTCTGTGTCCTGCCTTTTTCGGAGTGATTTCTGTTGAAGGACACTTAGGGACTGAATCAAGCATATCTTATTTTCAGGGGATGTGACTGGAAAATTCCCCTCCACCTCCAACCCCCACCCAGGTCTGTGGCTTGAATTTTGGAGGTCAGATCTGACCAAGTTATCACTACTCAAAGAAGGAGTGGGACGAAATCGTTAAAAATCCTCACAGATCTGGAGCCAGTGGTGACTTTCAGGGAAACACTTATTCCTTAACACCATTATGCACCTTCATTATTCCTTCCCTCTAAGCTTGGCAATTTTTCATTCATTCTTTCTTTTATCAAATGAAATGTTTATTATTTCGAATGAGAGGTACCTTCTTTGCACTGATCCCAGTAATTTGCTGTAGGCATAAAATTACTGATAAAGTGCATCCTGTTCCCCAGAACCAGTAAGAAAGAAGATGGAGGTGTTCAGTTCTATATTAATCACAGAAAGTTTACAGAGACTATTCAGAGTTCTCTGTAGTAACAGAACCGATGTATAGACAGGGAGAGAGAGAGACTTAATTTATTATTTATTTATCTATTTATCTTTTCTCGGCGATAACAGTGGTAAGAGAGAGACATTTTAAGGAAATGGCTCACAAAATTGTGGTGGATGGCAAGTCCAAAACCTGCAGGGAAGGCTGGCAGGCTGGAGACCCTGGGAATAGCAGATGTTGCAGTCTGAAGACAGCTTATAGGCAGAGCTCCCTCTGTAAGTGTCTGTGTTCTAATCTCCTCCTATTATAGGGACACCAGTCATATTGGGTTAGGGCCCACCCTAATGAACTCACAGAACTGAATTACCTCTTTAAAGACCCTGTCTCCAAATACAGTCTTATTCATAGGTCTTGAGGGTTAGGATTTAAACATATGAATTTGGTGGGGGACATGGGAGGACACAACTCAGCCCATAATACTTCATACTCTGACATCACTGAATTCATGTCCTTCTCACATAAAAAAATACATTGACTGCAACCCACTTGCCTGCAAAGTTTTAATCCCTTAGATCATGCATCACATGCCCATCATATCTTCAACAAATAATCATCCAGCCACAACCTTGATGTTCTCTCAGGAGCAGCCTTCCCCAGTTTTTAGAAGAGAGATAGGCTTAGAATTCCCCTAGTCTTCAAGTTCCTGGTCCTTTTTGCTTAACAATTCCTGCTTCAGTTTCTCTCTCTCCTCTTGCATTTACTGTGAACAGCAAGGAGAAACCAGGCCATGCCTTCAAGAGCTTGCTTAAAAATCTCATGTCAGTATCCAGATTCATCACTAACAGGTTCTACTTTCCACAAAACATGAAAATGCAGTTTGGCCAAGTTCTTTGCCACTATAACAATGATTGCCTTTCTTCCCATTTCAAATAATATGTTCCCACATTTCTGTTTCAGGCCTCATCAAAAGCAGCTTTAATATTTATATTTCTACCACTCTTCTGTTTATGATGATGTATGTATATCTGTAAGATGATAGGAGCTTTTTCTACAGCTTTCCTTTTTTTCTCTCTGAGCCCTCTTCAGAATCACCTTTAACTTTCATGTTTCAATCAGCAGTCTCTTCAGAGCAGTCTAGGCCTTTTCTAACTTGTTCTTCAAAACTCCTTCAGCTCTGCTCATTACCCAGTTCTAAAGCCGCTTGAATATGTGTAGGTATTTGCCATAGTAGCACCTCTCTTCCTGGTTCCGAAGTCTGGACTAGTCGGTGTTCTTCAGAGAAACAGAATCAGTAGGGTGTGTGTGTGTGTGTGTGTGTGTGTGTACACAGTGTGGAGGCACAATTCCTTCTATCCTTGTGTGTACCCTTATCATCTTACAATATATTGCATATTTTATTTATTATTTGTTTTGTCTGATGTATATCTTTTTTGTTGCTAGTATTGGCTTAATAGAGGCAGGTCCTTTACCAGATATTTTTCTTTCTGATACCTCTTATAGACACGAATAATGTTTGACACACATCAGATGCTTAACACATGCCTATTGAAGCAGTGAATAAAAGTATACCCATTTTGTTCATGTTCCTTTTTAAGATTCTGTAAGTTCTTCCTACTTCTCTCTTTTCTTCTTCTCCCAGGCTGCAGTAGCGCTCAGAAGTCAGAAATGAAAAATAATATTTTCTAGGTAAAACACTTGGGTTGGTGAGAAACACAGCCCATGAAGCCCATCCTTTGTCTTAGCTGTTTTCTGTCACTTTTTAGACTGTGTCTTGCCTATCAATTTTACCTGATCTTTTCCAGCCATTTCAGATATGTTATGGCCTGGGTTCCTGGCTTCCTCCCCTCCTCAATAAATTACTTAATCACTGCTAATAGTTCTCAATAATTTGATCATTTTAAAATGTTTCTCTAAGATCATCTCAAGTCCCCATGCTCACACTGCCACTGCAATTATGTGTGAAATAAAAATTCCTTCCCAGCAAGTACATGACCTGATGTTGTCCCAGACTTTTATCTACTGGGTAAAATGACCCCTGTGTACATGTGCAAAGATAGGAATTTGGAAAATTTTGGCTTACAGTGGTATTTATGCCATGACATTGCATGAGATCACTAATGTGTGCAGATTGTGAGGAGAGATGACTATTGATTAAACTCTCAGGAATTCCATTACTAAGTGGATGAGAGAAAATGAAGAATCTGCAAATTTAAGTTAAAAATGCAAAAATTATCAATGGTGTCTAAAGCTACTGAGAGGACGTTTAACCAAAATCTTACCTATCACTGTTATGTTTAGGAGTTTGCTCATGACATTGGTTTTGTGAGGATAAAACTGCACGTAGAATGAGTGAAGAATTACCTAAGAGTTGAGATAATAGAATAAGAGAGGGAAAACGCTCTAAAAAAGTGGAGTTGTAGGGACTTCCCTAGTGGTGCAGTGGTTTAGAATCCGCCTGCCAACGCAGGGAACACGGGTTCAATCCCTGGTCCAGGAAGATCCCAGGTGCTGCGGAGTAAGTAAGCCCATGTGCCACAACTACTGAGTCTGTAATCTAGACGCTGCGAGCCACAACTACTGAGCCCACATGCTGCAACTACTGAAGGCCGCACACTCTAGGGCCCACGTGCCAAAACTACTGAGCCTGCCTGCCTAGAGCCCATGCTCCAAAACAAGAGAAACCACAGCAATGAGAAGCCGGCGCACCGCAATGAAGAGAAGACCCCGCTCGCCACAAGTAGAGAGAAAGCCCGTGTGCAGCAACGAATACCCAACTTAGCCAAAAAATAAATTTAAAAAAAACAGTGGAGTTGCAAAGGGTGTAAGAAATGGTAGAATCAGAAAATGTACTGGATGAAAGAGTGACCTGTAATTGTTTCAAGGTGTCCAATATTTATCAAGTTATTTTTAAGAGATTCAAAAAGACTGAAGCGCATTGATGGGATTATCTTACAAGAGATTTGATAAAACAGCTTGTCTTGGCCAAGAGCTTCTCCTTAGGGTGTCTCCGTAAAGGGTCTTTGAAGACAGTGGCAGTTTTGGAAGGAAATATTTTCTAGATGATATTGGATATAAACTTGTCCTTTGTCTTCACAGAGTGGGCAGGAGGAGTTGTCTTAGCCATTAAGCTTTGCCCCAGTATTTCAAGGTAGGTGTAATTCAGAGTGACATCCCCCAAGTGCATTGGATTCTGCTATTTCCTCTGCTGGATACTGTAGCACCTGATAAATACCTTTAGTTGCTGTGAGTAAACTGGACCAAGAAAGAGGAAAAACAACTACAGAAAAAATTCATAGATACTGTTTTTCAGTCATTTCAGAAAGGTGTATTGCCTCACTACATGCATTCATGTTGTTCTTCATTGACCTGATGTGTTACGGGCTCATGGTCTACCAGCGGCTCCATGGGTCTTTTCCCACACAGACACAAGCAGAGAATCCAATGCGTTCACAGCAGCAGCCTCTCCCCTAGACTTTCCCATGAGACCAAAGCACCATTCTTATCGTGCTGAGGAAAAAAGCTGCGTTCACCATTCTCATTCTGGTGAATATGTTGTCTGTTTTTACCCTCTCTTTTTATTTTATCTTTTTGGATAACTCTGATTATGAACCCACACCATGGTCTAATGAACGCCTCTGCAAAGGTACTTTCAGGTTTCCCGACATTCATCCCTTAGTGCTTTATGGCAGTGACACTCAGCTCTCTCAGTTTAGCTTTCCTGTTGGGCAAGGAAAACAAATATTCTGAGTGTAGCTCCTGGGCTATAAGTTCTCTCTAGAACACCCCGCCATGTATTTAATCAGCTTTATATATTTGTAGGCTCATGTTTTATGTCATTTCATCTTCCAGAAGATTTTGACTCAAAATTGATAACAGTGATAATAGCTCTGCTTTGTATTACATGTAGAGTATAAAAACACGAAAGCTACTCATAGTTATTCAAAAATAATTTTCTAAAGGTATATAATGTTATTCACTACAGGTTCAGGGAATTTTATGATAATATAGAGAATGTTCAAGATTTAGGAGTGTAGGTTATAACAGCACTTTAATTTAAACGTTAAACTTTATGTTGACACTTAAGAGATTTATTTGAATTTACAAAGCATAGTGGGGAAAATAGATGTTTCATTTGGAGAGCAAAAGACCTGGGAATACTCTTGAGCTGTAAAGTCACATATGGAATTCAAAGACTGAAGGAAGATCGATGTGTTTGTTGTATAGTGTGCGATGGGAAGAGTGATGAGAAAACAAGCAGAGGAAGCAGGTGAAGGCTTCTTTTGCCAGGTATCAGAGGATATCTCAGTGATGAGAATGATCCGAACTTTTTGTAGGGAAGATGATGAGCTTGTGGGGGATTAGTCAGGTGGGATAATAATCAGTGTTTTATATGATAACAAGTGTAAGTATTCGATTCAAATAAATTTATTAAACTCTACATTTTAGCATCATTTAATATTTGTTTTAATTGAAAACTTTGTGTTTGTTTGAAGCGATGCATTTACAGTATTTAATAGGCATATTTTGGAAATTACGCTTTTATGAAAGTGAATTTTAGAAATTGTGATCTATTGGCAATTGGAGGATACTTTTAAAAGTTGAATGCTCTTTTGCTCTTTATTACCCAACTGTAGTAAGTTATTTGCCTTTTATTACCACTAACATTTATTAACATAATACCTGTCTAATGTTGAAGCACTAACTCACAAAGGGCCTGTTTTTGGACATAGGGCATTTATAGAGGTAAATAAGGATAAGTGAGATTATAAGGGTGTGGCTGTATTCCATTAAGACTGGTTTCCTTCTGTTGACAAAAACTCAATTAACAATCAAGAAGAAAAAAGTTAACTTTATTCAATTAAACAGGTTTATAACCCGGGAGACAGAGTCTCAGAATGTCTGAGATCTGTTCGGCCTGTTAGAAGTTGAAGGCACAATGATATACATTTATGAGACAAAGGATCATACAACAAAATGACATGCTGACATTTTACACAAAGTTCATAGGCCAAGTAAGCATGTACAAAGCAGTCAGTGAGTCACCATAACCCCCAATAGAGTTGGGAAACAATGCTAATCTTTTAAGAAGTTACATTGCTAGCATCAGAAGAAAGGGGGAAAAAATTGATCTTTGCAGTCAAGAAAGCATTCCCATCTTTGAGGAAGACTAGTTAGTGTGTAATGCAGAAGCACACTGCACATTAAGGAGGTAGAGAGGCCAAAGCAGAAAATTTTATGTTTAAATTTTCTTGTCCTGCCTTGAAATATAAATTTCATTGCATCACTCATAAGATGAGGGATAGACACCAGGAGTATGCACACGGGGAGAAAAGGCCATGTGAGGACAGAGCAAGAAGTTGGCTACCCAAAAGCCAAAACAGAGGCCTCAGGAAAAACTATACTTTTTGACACCTTCCTGTTAGACTTTCAGCATCCAGAACTGCAAGAAAATTAATTTCTGTTATTTAAGCCACCCAGTCTATACTCTTACTAAACCAGTTTCATTTGCCTGATGCACAGCAAGCCAAACGCTGAGACGCTGAGGTTTGCAGCAGAGAAACTGTTTATTCATAAGGCAGCCAAGCGAGCAGAAGCAAAGACAAATCTCAGATTCACCTCCCCAAAGGGGAGAGGCTAGGAATGTTTATGGGATAAAGCTGGGTGGGGGGATGGGAATTGAAGATAAGAAAAGGTGATTGTTGTTCTGCACAGGTAAAAGTAAGCTACAGATTTTTTCATGAGACACCTGTTCAGAAAATGGCAGTGTTAGCATGTTCTGAGGGTGGGCTGTTGGCCCTCTGACATCAAAAGGTCACTGAGCCGACATTTGCACATGCCCAGATGGAGGGTCAGTGGTCTTAACCAGTTTTAACCAGTTCGAGCTCAAACTGGACACAGCTGACTCCCGATTTCCTAAAACACAACTTGGGCAAAGATCTTATTGTTTAGGCTATTTGCCGCTTGGGAGTACCCGCAAGTTTTTGTAAAAGCAAAGTGAGTTTGATCAGTGAAGGCAGGTTACAGTTTATAACTTATGACTACCCAAGGTTTCAATAGTATTAAAATGTTATGGCAGCCCTAGCTGACAAACACAATTCTCATTTAATGTTTTCTCGTCACCAAATAAATGAGCTCAACACCCAAGAAATATAGTTAGGCCTACAACACCACTTCTGCTGTCACAGTAAAGTCTGCCATCAGACAACTGAAGGAATTGAAGGACCATAGAAGCACCACCATTTGAAACCTTGCTAGCCTTTAATAAATGGGTAGATTTGTGTAACAAACAAACAAACAAACAAAAAAAATATATATATATAGAGAGAGAGAGAGGATTACACAATTGTAACAATTCTAAAAAGGCCACAAAATAAAAATTAGCTTTTATACAATTTAGGGCGTTTAGTTTGGCAGTTCCTATTTTTCTTCCACTTTTGATGATCCTGTTCATTTTTGCTTCTACTCCTCAAAATGACTGATAACATAGGCAGGGGAACCGTTTTCTGGGGGAACCAGAGGCAGAGCTCCTGCTTGTCCATCCGCTTCAGGGCAGCCTAACATCACACTACTTGCTTTTCTGTCATGGACCTCAATGGACTCTTTTTTCTTCTTCCTGACCAAACAAACTGAAACTTAAAAAACTGAGTAACACTTCAGACCACATGCATTTGAAGAGCAATAAACAATGTTTCTAGCTATGTGTGGATTCATTTTATATACGAATGACTGGAATGATACGGCCATTTAGATGAGTAGATTTGCGAGCATCGCAAATAATTGTTTTATCCTCTAGGAGCTGCCTGGGCTTAATGGAGTCTGAAATAATGTCTCTTCGCGGCCTTTAACAACGACCAAAGCCCCTCCCTCCTTTGAGGTAGGAACACCACCAGCAGCGTTCCTCAAGGGGCTGCAAATCCAATGCTCCTGTTGAACATTATGAACTAGATTCGCCGCGGCCTCTGGAGCGCTGGGAACTACATTACCCTGAAGGCACGGGCCGAGAGGCAGCAACGGCCAATCAGGGTGAGGGGTTCCCGCGCGTGCGCGTCTGGGCGGGACTTCCGGCGACCCCGTTGTGGCGGTCATTTATGCTCCCCTCCGGTTTCGCGCTCCGGAGCGTTGTGTCAGGATCGAAGTGACTGGACCGAGAAGATCCGAGAGGAGGGCCTGTTCCCGCAACACAGAGGCAGGTCTGAGGCTAGAAGACGCCGCCCGGGGCATCGCGCGTCAAGCCCGGGAGACTGACCGCTGTGCCAGCGTCTCGCCTCATCTCCCGCAGCTCCCGGGCCCGCTCCGTCCACCGAGTCCGATGGCGACGGCGGCGCTGAGGGACCCGCCTGAGGTAAACGCTCGTCCTCCGGTCCCTCACCGCCCACAAGGCACCAGACACTATAGCCCCGAGTGCGGGGCGCCTGCTCACGAGCCCGCAGCCAAGGCCGCGGTGTCCAGGACGGTGAGGCGGCCGTGGGCGGCGCGTGGGCGAGGGTGACAGGCGAAGGAACCGGCAGGTGCAAAGGCTTGGAGGTCGGACTGAGCCAGGAGGATTCGGGAAACCTGGGGTGCATCTTATGACTGCAGTAAAGAGAGTGTGAGGTGGAATCACGCCTGGACCGGCAGAGAGAGAGGTTGTTGCTTTATTCTGAGGGACCTGGGAGCCACGGAGGGCTGTGAACGGACGAAGAGCAGTGTATGTGAGGGCTTTAAAAGTTTTCAAAAAGCTGCTCAGAGAACGAACGGATTGGATTGGAATGGGGGTGACAAAGAGAGGCACAGGGAGTTGAGTCCTCGTCCAAGGTCACAGGATCTGATGAGAGACAGCAGAGGTTAGTCAGTCAGCCTGAGGTCACTAGGTTCCAGGATACAAGGGAGTCCTGCACACATGGAGCCCAACCATGGTTGCCTTCCTTTTTCGCCCAGATTCTGAAGGTTGAAGAGGCACTTATGGAACCTATGTAAGGCAGGAGAGGGTGTCCCAGTCCCTCACTGGTTCTGGGTGGCTAATACTGAAACAGAGATTAGAAGCAAGGCAGGCAGGGCTTTTCCTGGCTATGGGCTCCCTCAGAGAACTGGGATTGTACCAGATCATGTTTGATTTTGTTAAGCACTCTGTGGATGCCATGTTCCAAGTACCTGGGTGAGTCCAGAGAGGTGCCTGTGATGTGGGGCGGGGAGGTGGTAGAGCTGTGGGAGTGCAACTGTGAGGTCTGAAGATGTGAAAGAGGTTTGGTCAACTGAATGACGTGCACATCAAGGGGAAGTGTGAGCTGAGGGCCCACAGGACCTGGTTTTGGGGATTAAGGGTAAAGATGAGCCCATGTTTGGCTGTGTCTTGGAGGCACAATGTGGGAGACCTCGGGGGAATTACTTCGGGGGAGGGATGGGGCCCTGTAGGCCAGGCCCAGAGTTTAGATGGCGTTTATCCCCCCGGCCACCGCCTTTTGTGGCTGAGGGCTGAACACAGTGAGGAGAGATCAGGCATCATTGGCACCAGGCCTGACGTGGGGAGCTCTGATGGAGGATGACCATGGAATACATGTGTGAGGAGATGAATTGTGGGTCCTCAGAGAGAGAATGTTTATGTTTCATCTATCTCATTCATGACAGAATGGTGTGACCTTTGAGGACATTGCCCTGTACTTCTCCTGGGAGGAATGGAAGCTCCTTGATGAGGCTCAGAGACGCCTGTACCATGATGTGATGCTGGAGAACTTTGCACTTATATCTTCACTGGGTAAGAGACTCACCCTCCCCAGTGACCTGGACTAGGCTCTGTATCCTGCCTCACCCTCTTTTCTCCAAGGTGTGCTCTGTCCTTCTCACATATGGACCTTGGGCACTGCTTGTTTCCCCAGCTTTCTGGGTAGTTGCTGTGATAGGTAGGGCTGGGTTGTTTGCACTGCCCCCTTCTCTCCCCATAGCCCCAATACAGTCTGTACTCAACGCTTGTAGGGGTGGATTTGAGGTCAGCATTCTTGCAGTGAGGCTAATGGATTGCATCTTACTTGCCCTTTCCCTGGTCAGGTGGTGAGTCCAGGTCCATGGTACTTCTGTGTCCCAGGTTTTGTTCCTTCTTATTATCTGACATTTCCTTCTGCCTCCATATGCCAGGAATTGAAGGTATTGTCATGACCATTACTTACCTGGACCGTGGGCTGTTTTCTAAGGCTGTCCTTAATGGTTCTGCTTGTGGTGTTTAGATCTCTTTTCTTTTTTCTTTTCTACAGCTTATTGAGGTATAATTGACAAATAATACTGTATGTATTTAAAGTGTACAGGGAGTTCCCTGGTGGTCTAGTGGTTAGGATTCAGCACTTCCACTGCCATGGCCCGGGTTCAATCCGTGGTCAGAGAACTGAGATCCCACAAGCCGCACATTGTGGCCAAAAAATGAAAAAATATTAAAAAGTACAAGGAAGTGTACAATATCATGATTTTATATACACACATACAGTATGAAATGATTACTACAGTCAAGTTGATTAACACATCCATTACCTCACATAATTGTCTTTACATTTTTCGTGTGTGTGAAAACACTTAAGATCTACTTTGTTAACCCATTTGAAGTATACAATACAGCATTATTAAGTATAGGCTCCATGTTGTATTAGTTCCTCAGAGCTTATTCATCTTATAAAACTGACCAACATCTTCCCATTTCCTCTAGACCTGAGCACCCTGCATCTACTCTTTGTTTCTATGGGTTCAACTGTTTTTTTCCCCACGATTCCATATATAAGTGATAGCATACAGTATTTATCTTTCTTTGGCTTATTTCACTTTGCATTATGCCCTCCAGGTTCATCATTATTGTCACAAATGCATGATTTCCTTTTTTAATGGCTGAATAATACTCCATTGCATATAAATACCAGACTTTATTAATCCATTCATTCGTAGACAGATACAGGCATATTGCAGGTTAGGCTCCAGACCACCGCAATAAGGTGAGTAACACAATAAAGCAAGTCACCAAAAGTTTTGTTTTCCAGTGCCTATAAATGTTATGTTTACACTGTATAGTAGCCAGTAAGTGTGCAATAGCATTATGTCTTAAAAAGCAACATATATACCTTAGTTAAAAAATACTTTATTGCTAAAAAAATTTTAATCATCATCTGAGTTGTATCTTTTTGCTGCTGGAGCAATTTATTTTAAAAAAATTTTTTAATAAATAAATTTATTTATTTATGGCTGTGTTGGGTCTTCTTTGCTGTGCGCAGGCTTTCTCTAGTTACAGCGAGTGTGGCTACTCTTCATTGTGGTACAGGGGCTTCTCATTGCAGTGGCTTCTCTTGTTGTGGAGCACAGGCTCTAGGTGCATGGGCTTCAGTAGTTGTGGCACGCGAAGTCTAGAGTGCTGGCTCAGTAGTTGTGGCACAAGGGCTTAGTTGCTCCGCAGCACGTGGGATCTTCCCGGACCAGAGCCTGAACCCATGTCCCCTGCTTTCGCAGGTGGATTCTATTTTTTGTTTGTTTGTTAATTTTATTTATTTATTTTTGGCTGCGTTGAGTCTTCATTGCTGCACGTGAGCTTTCTCTTGTTGCAGCAAGTGGGGGATACTCTTTCATAGCAGTGCACAGGCTTCTGTTTGGGGTGGCTTCTCTTGTTGTGGAAAACGGGCTCTAGGCACACGGGCTTCAGTAGTTGTGACATGCGGGCTTAGTAGCTGTGGCTCGCTGGCTCTAGCGCGCAGGCTCAGTAGTTGTGGCGCACGGGCTTAGTTGCTCCGCACCATATGGGATCTTCCCAGACCAGGGCTCGAACCCGTGTCCCCTGCATTGGCAGGAAGAGTCTTAACCACTGCGTCACCAGGGAGGCCTGGCAGGCGGATTCTTAACCACTGTGCCACAAGGGAAGTCCCTTGCCTTAATTTTGACTGATCAAGGTGCTGACTGATCAGGTTGATGAAGGTTGTGGTGGCTTTGGCAATTTCTTCAAATAAGACAAGAATGATGGTTGCCACATCAATGGACTCTTCCTTTCAGGAATGATTTCTCTGTAGCACATGATGCTGTTTGATAGCATTTAACACACAGTAGAACTTCTTTCAAAATTGTAGTCAATCTTCTCAAACCCTACTGCTGCTTTATGAACTAAGTTTATGTAATATTCTAAAGCCTTTGTCATCATTTCAACAATCTGCACAGCATCTTCCCCAGGAGTACATTCCATCTCAAGAAACCATTTTCTTTTCTCATCCATAAGAAACAACTCCTCATCTGTTAAAGTTTTCTCTTGAGATTGCAGCAATTCAGTCATCTTCCAGCTGCACTTCTAATTCTAGTTCTCTTGGTTTTTCCACTACATCTGCAGTTATTTCCTCCACTGAAATCCTGAACTCCTCAAAGTCATCTAGAGAGTTGGAATCAGCTTTTTCCCAACTCCTGTTAATGTTGATAGTTTTACCTCTTCCCATGATTCATAAATGTTCTTAATGGCATCTAGAATGGTGAGTCCTTTCCAAAAGGTTTTCAATTTACTTTGCCCTGATCCATCAGAGGAATTGCTATCCATGGCAGCTATAGCCTTATGAAATGTATTTCTTAAGACTTGACAGTGTACACTACTTGATCCATGGGCTACAGAATAGATGTTGTAGTAGTAGGCATGAAAAGAACATTAATCTTGTACATCTCCACCAGAGCTCTTGGCTGACCAGCTGTATTGTCAGTGAGTAGTAATATTTTGAGAACATTTTTTTTTCAGAGCAGTTGGTCTCGAGAGTAGTCTTAAAATATTCAGTAAATCATGCTATAAGGAGACGTGCTGTCATCCAGGCTTTGTTGTTCCATTTATAGAATATATGCAGAGTAGATTTAGCAGAATTGTTAAGGGCCTAAGATTTTCAGAATGATAAATGAGCATTGGCTTCAACTTTCAGTCACCAGCTGCATTACCCTTAACAAGAGAGTCAGCCTGTCCTTTGAAGCTTTGAAGCCAGGCATTGACTTCTCCTCTCTAACTGTGAAAGTCCTAGATGCCATCTTCTTCCAACATAAGACTGTTTCATCTACATTAAAAATGTGTTGTTTAGTGTAGCCATGTCCATTAATTATCTTAACTAGATCATCTGGATAACTTTGGTACAGCTTCTACATCAGCACTTGCTGCTTCACTGTGTACTTTTTTTTTCACCTTGTACTTTTATGTTATCGAGACAGCTTCTTTCCTTAAATCTCATGAACCCACATATGCTAGCTTCATACTTTTTTTTTTTTCCAGCTTCTCACCTCTCTCAGCCATCACAGAATTGGAGAGAGTTGGGGCCTGACTCTGGATCAGGCTTTGGCTTAAGGTAATGTTGTGGCTGGCTTAATCTTGGATACAGATCACTAAAATTTTCTCCATATCAGCAATAAGACTATTTTGCTTTCTTATTATTTGTGTGTTCACTAGAGTAGCACTTTTAATTTACTTGAAGAACTTTTCCTTTGCATTTATTGATACAACTTGGTTAATACTGTTTGGTCCAAGGGCCTGGCTTTCAGCCTCTCTTGGCTTTTAACTTGCCTTCCTCACTAAGCTTTATCATGTCTAGCTTTTGATTTAAAGTGAAAGACATGTGATCCTTCCTTTTACTTGAGCTCTTAGAGGCCATTGTAGGGTTATTAATTTGCCTAATTTCAGTATTGTTGCATCTCAAGAAATATGGAGGCGAGAGGAGAGGGAGAGAGACAGATTCACCAGTCCGTAGAGCAGGCAGAACACATACAGTGTTTATCAATTAAGTCTGCTGTCTTATGGGTCCAGTTTGTCGCACCCCAAAACAAAGATCACTGATCACAGATCACCATAACAAGTATAACAATAATGAGAAAGTTTGAAATATCGCAAAAATTACCAAAACGTGACTCACAGACACAACATGAGCAAATGCTGTTAGAAAAATGGCGCCAGTAGACTTGCTTGACACAGGGTTACTGCATACCTTCAATTTGTAAGAAAATGAGTTATCTGTGAAGCACAATAAAACAAGGTATGCCTGTACTTAGGTTGTTTTTATACCTGGGCTATTGTGGATCATGCTGCAGTGAACATGGGGGTGCAAACACCTGTTTGAGATACAGATTTTGTTTCCTCTGGAAATAGACACAGAATTGGGATTATTGGACCATGCAGAGTTCTATTTTTAATTTTTAGGAAATTCCATACAGTTTTCCCTAATGGCTGTACCGATTTACATTCCTACCAACAATGTAGAAGGTTTTCCTTTTCTTCACATCCTCACTAACATGTATCTCTTGTCTTTTTGATAGTAGTGTTCCAGACAGGTGTGAGGTATCTCATTGTGGTTTGGATTTGCATTTCCCCGATGTTAGTGATGTTGAGCACCTTTTCACATACCTGTTGATCATTTGTGTGTTTTGGATAAATATCTGTTCAGGTCCTTTTGCCCATTTTTAATTGGATTCTTTAGTTTTTTATTGTTGAATTGTATGAGTTCTGATATTTTCTGGATATTAACCCCTTATCAGATAAATCCTTTGCAAGTATTTTCTCCTTTTCCTTAGGTTGTGTTTTCATTTTGTTTCCCTTGCTATAAAGAAGCTTTTCCATTTGATATAGTCCCACTTGTTTATTTTTGCTTTCATTGCTTGTGCTATTGGTGTTATCTAAAAAAAATCGTTGCCAACACCAATGTCAAGGAGCTTTTTCTCTGTATTTTCTTCTAAAAGTTTTACAATTTCAGGGTTTATGTTTCAAAATTTTAATCCGATTCAAGTTAATTTTTGTGAGTGGTGTGAGATAAGGCTCTAGTTTCATTTTTTTTGCTTGTGGATAACCAGTGTTTCCATCACCATTTTTGGAAGAAGCTGTCCTTTCTCCATTGTGTGTTCTTGTTGTGCCTATCAAAGATCAGTTGACCACATATGCGTGAGTTTATTTCTGGGCTCTGTATTCTGTTCAGTTGGTCTATGTGTCTATTTTTATGCCAGTACCATAATGTATTAATTACCATAGAATTGTAATAGTTTGAAATCAGAAAGTGTGATGCCTCTAGATTTGTCCTTTTTCAAGATTGTTTTGGCTATTTGGGATTTTTCATGGTTCCATACAAATTTTAGGATTGTTTATTCTATTTCTGTGGAAAATATCATTGGAATTTTGATATGGATTGTTTTCAATCTGTAAATTGCTCTTTGTAAAATTAACAATATTAATTTTTCCAATCCAGGAATACTGGATATCTTTCCATTTATTTGTGTCTTCTTTAGTTTCTTTCATCATTGTCTTATGATTTTCAGAATGTAAATCTTTCATCCCCTAGATTAAATTTGTTCCTGAGTATCTTATTCTTTTGATGCTATTTAAAATAAGATTGCTTTCTTAATTTTCTATTCGGACAGTTTGTAATTAATGTATATAAATGCAACTGAAATTTGTATATTGGTTCTTTTTATCCTGAAACTTTACTGAATTCATTTGTTAGGGTGGAATTTTGGGATTTTCTACATATAAGAGTGTGTTACCTGCAAACAAACACTTTTCCTTCTTCCAGTCCAATTTGACAGCCTTTTCTTTCTTTTTCTTCTCTACTTACTCTGGGTGGGGCTTCCTGTACTATGTTGAATAAAAACGGATAGGGTAGGCATACTTGTCTTGTTCCTGATGTTAGAGGAAAACCTTTTAGCTTTTGAATGTTCAATATGATGTTAGGTATGGGCTTGTCAGACATGTTGAAGTACATTCCTTCTATACCTAGCTTTTTTTTTAAAAAAAAAGAATTAATTCGGCTGTGTCTGGTCTTAGTTGTGGTGTGCAGGATTTTTTAGTTGTGCTGTACAGTCTTCTCTCTAGTTGTGGTGTGCGGGCTCAGTAGCTGTGACCTGCAGGCCCTCTAGTTAGAGCACATGGGCTCACTGGTTGCAGCACACAGGCTCTCTAGTTATGGCACGCGGGCTCCAGAGCATGTGGGCTCAGTAGTTGTGGTGCATGGGCTCTCTAGTTGTGGCAGGCGGGCTGCAGAGTGTGTGGGCTCAGTAGTTGCAGTGCGTGGGCTGAGTCATTGCAGTGCATGGGCTGAGTAGTTGCAGTGCATGGGCTTAGTTCCCCAACCCAGGACTGAACTCGTGTCTCCTGTGTTGGAAGATGGATTCTTAACCACTGGACTACCAGGGAAGTCCCCTTTCTATACCCAACTTGTTGAGAGTTTTTATCATGAATGGATATTGAATTTTAAAATGGTTTTTCAGCATCTATTCATATGATTATGATTTTTATCCTTCGTTCTGATAATGTGGTGTATCACATTTATTGATTTGCACATGATGTTGAACCATCTTTGCACCCCAAGGATAAATGCTACTTGATTGTGATGTATGATCCTGTAAATGTGCTGTTGGATTTGGTTTGCAAGTATTTGGTTGAGGATTTTTGCATCTCTATTCATCAGGGATTTTTTTTTAAAATTTATTTATTTTATTTATTTATTTTTGGCTTTGTTGGATCTTCGTTGCTGTGTGTAGGCTTTCTCTAGTTGCGGCGAGCGGGGGCTCCTCTTTGTTGTGGTGCACGTGCTTCTCATTGTGGTGGCTTCCCTTGTTGCAGAGCACGGGCTCTAGGCATGCAGGCCTCAGTAGTTACAGCACATGGGTTCAATAGTTGTGGCTCGCAGGCTCTAGAGTACATGGGCTTAGTTGCTCTGCAGCATGTAGGATCTACCTGGACCAGGGCTCGAACCTGTGTCCTGTGCATTGGCAGGCAGATTCTTAATCACTATGCCACCCGGGACACCCTCATCAGGGATATTGACCTGTAATTTTCTTCTGTTGTATTCTTCTTAAATGGCTTTGATATCAGAGTAATGCTGGTCTCATAAAATGAACTTGGAAGTGTTCCTGCTTCAATTTTTTGGAAGATTTTGAGAAGGATTGATATTAATGTTTTAAATATTTAGTAGATGGCTTCCCTGGTGGCACAGTGGTTGAGAGTCCGCCTGCTGATGCAGGGGACGCGGGTTCGTACCCTGGTCTGGGAGGATCCCACTGCCATGGAGCAGCTGGGCCCATGAGCCATGGCTGCTGAGCCTGCACATCCGGAGCCTGTGCTTCGCAACGGGAGAGGCCACAACAGTGAGAGGCCCGCATACTGCAATAAATAAATAAATAAATAAATATTTAGTAGAATTCCCAGTGATTTTGCCTAGTCCTGGGCTTTTCTTTGTTGGGAGATTTTTTTTATTAGTGATTCAATCTGCTTACCAGTTATAGGTTAATTCACATTTCCTATTTCTCCATGATTTTTTTTTGGTAGGTTTTATGTTTATAGGAGTTTTATTCATTTCTTCTGAGTTATCCAATTTGTTGGCAAATAACTGTTCATTCTAGTTTCTTCTGATTGATTGTATTCCTGCAGTATCAGTTGTTATGTCTCCTCTTTCATTTCTGATTTTGAGTCATCTCTCTTTTTTCATAATCTAGCTAAAGGCTTGTCAATTTATCTTTTCAAAAAAACCAACTGTTGAGATTTCCCTGGTGATCAGTGGTTAGGACTCTGCACCTCCACTGTAGGGGGCCCAGGTTCAATGCCTGGTCAGGGAACTAAGATCCCAGAAGCCATACAGAGTAGCCAAAAAACAAAGTAAAAAGTTTTTTAAAAAAATTAAAAAGCCTCTTAGTTTTATTGGTGTTTTCTGTCATTTTTCTAGTCTCTATTTCATTTATTTCTGCTCTGATCTTTATTATTTGTTTTATTTCTGCTAACTTTAACCTTAGTCTGTTCTTTTTCTGATACCTTGAGATATAGAGTTAGGTTGTTTATTAGAGATCATTCTTTTTTCTTAAGGTAGTCATTTATTACTATAAACTATCCTCTTACAATTGCTTTTACTGCATCCCATAAGTTTTCGTGTGTTATGTTTCCATTTACATTTGTTTGAATATGTTTTTTTTAATCATTTCTTGTTTAACCCATAGGTCATTCAGGAGTGTGTCATTTAAATTCTACCTATTTGTGAATTTCCCAGCTTTCCTCCTGTTAATGATTTCTAGTTTTGTACCATTGTGGTTGGAAAAGATATTTAATATGTTTTCCATCTTTTTAAATTTGTTAATACTTGTTTTGTGACCTAACATGTGACCTATCCTAGAGAGTGTTCTCTGTGTACTTGAGAAGAATGTGTATTCTGCTATAGTTGGATGGCATCTTTTGTACATGTCTGTCAGGTCCCTTTGATCTTAGGTGCAGTTCAAGACCAACGTTTTCTTATTCAGAGTGGGGCATTGAACCCCTAATATTACTTCACTGCTGTCTTTTTCTGCCTTCAGATTTGTTTGTATTTGCTTAATATATTCGGGTGTTCCAATATTGGATGCAAATATACTTGTAATTGTTATATCCTCTTGATGAATTGACTGCTTTATCATTATATAATGACCTCCTTTGTCTATTTACTTAAAGTCTGTCTTTTCTGACATAGTATAATTACCCCATTCTTTTTTTGTTTCATTTGCACGTTTGTGGTTGGATTGCCCCTTCCAATAAAGTGAATGTGTACCTCATCGGTGTTTCTTTGCATTCAGGTGTCTGGAGTGGAGAAGAGAATGTTGAGGCATCCTTTGAACAGAGTGTTTCTGTGGTAATGTCACAGGTCAGGACTTCCAAGGAACCTTCATCTTCCCAGAAGACTCACCCCTGTGAGATGTGTGGTCCAGTTTTGAGAGACATTTTCCATTTGACTGAGCAGCAGGGAGCACAACACAGCCAGAAACTATTCAAGTGTAGGGCATGTGCAAAAGGATTTTATTTCAGTGCAGACACTCAGCAGCACCAGGAGCAACACATGCAAGGAAAACCATTCATAATCGGTGTGGACAGGGACTTATTTGTGAAGAGCAGCAATTTCCATGTGTCAGGGGAGACTTTTACCTGCAAGAAAGTTGCAGAGGACTTCCTAGCCACCTCAGGACATCTGAATCAACAGGCCATTCACACTGGGGAAAAGCCAAACACAGTCACCCACTGCATGGAAACTTTACAAAGCAGAAAAAGTCATTGCACCAGGGGAGAATGCAAGAAAGGCTTCAGCCCCAAACACACACTTGTTCAGGCCCAGAGTGCCTACACTGAAAGACAATGTTTTATGTGCAGTGAATGTGGGAAAACATTCAAGTATAAATCCTCATTTGTTGTGCACCAGAGAATTCACACTGGTGACAGGCTTTATGACTGTGGCGACTGTGGAAAATCTTTTAGGGGAAGCTCAGCCCTCATTCAACATCGAAGAATTCATACTGGGGCAAGGCAGTACAAGTGCAGCAAATGTGGGAAATCCTTTAGCCAAGAATTTGTCTTCATTTATCCTCAGAGGAGTCACACTGGAGAAAATTGCCACATTTGCCATCAGTGTGCACAATCTTTTAGCCATAGCTCCATCTTTTTTCAACAACAGACAGTTCACACTGGAGAAATGAGTTATGAGTGCACTGAATGTAGGAAGTCCTTTAGACGAAAATCTGACCTCATTGAACACTGGAGGGTTCACACAGGAGAAAGGCCTTATGAGTGCAGTGAATGTGGGAAATCTTTTACCTCTCGTTCCACCCTTCATTATCATCAGAGAGTTCACACAGGAGAAAAGCCTTATGACTGCAGCGAATGTGGGAAGTCTTTTAGCCGAAAATCTAACCTCTCTCAGCACCAGCGAGTTCACACTGGAGAAAGGCCTTAAATGTGTAAGAAATGTGTAATTTCTTTGTTCAGTGTAATGACATTGGATGAAACTGTGAGGCACTAGTTGTCCCATGCATCCAAACATCAGGAGTAGAGAGATTCCTCATAATTTTCAGTTTTGTGGGAAGCATGTGTGACTGTGTTACACTCTCTAACCTACCCAGGGCTCTTGATAGATTTATGTCACTGCCACTTTCTGTAGCCAGATCCATTTCATCTCTATAAGCTGGCACGTCCCCACAGTGTGCATCAGTCAGTACTGCAGTGTGCTCAGGGAAGCCAACTCTGTTCTCTCATTTCTGGGAGGAAATTAGGAATAACCTGAACCTTTAGGATTCCCTTTCTGACCAGCTTGGGCATGGGCCTGACCTACTATTGGCCCAGAGAACATCATATGAGTTAATCTGGCAGCTTCCAGAGAAGGATTACCATTTTCAGGGACACGTTGGTCTCAAGATACTTGTGATGAATTTTTATACCTTCTGAGTCACCAGCTAAAGAACTGCCAGCCATTGCTGGCAGATCTGCCAGAACATTGCTTTCGTTTGAACAGTAACAAAGACCTTACTGTTTAAGTCCTCTTTAATCTTGGACATTCTATTTACCAAATAGGGTAGGTTATAAACAGATTTGGGCATGAAGGGGCGAGCAACTTTTATGGGGGTATCAAACTTTCTATGCCTCAGAGGAGACATTACAAAGGCAGAAATTAACTTACTAGTTTTTGCCAAATTTGCATTTCTGCCCGTGGCCTCCTAGGAAAGACTGCAGGACTTTCTTGTCTTCTTTTGAGGCCTGGATGCTATGAGTTTTAGGAGACTCAGAGGGCACCCTGAGGAGGGGTCCAGTGTGACAACCTCAACTGCTTCTGGGAGCAGCATGAATTTTTTCCCTTGTTCACAGGGCATGTCAGCAATGCTGAGGGAGCTCTCTTCCCCAGGTCTTACAAAGAGCCAGGCAGATTTTTAAAAAAAGAGAGAAAAGGAGAATCTGTAGTCCACAGATGTCTCTTGTGACCCAGGCTGCATTCCTGTTGACTCTGGTGGAAAGTCATTGCTCACTCTATTTGCTGTCTTTGAGGTAAGACTGACCGCCAGAGGGCATGACAAAGTGGAATGAATGTAGGATTGCCAAACCTATTTTCCCAAAACAGTTGGACATAGTTGTTTTTTTTTTTATCTTGAAGCATTTCAAAAGCTATTTGTTATCAGATAGCTCTGACATATGTATGGAACTGAAACCATCATTGTAGTCATGGTAATGACTGTATCTGTTACTGTATATTTATCTCATGACCTTTTATAATCTCTCTCTTCTTGCCCCTCACACCCCTTCAAGTAACCATTGATTTACTTTCCTTTATAATATGTAACTTTCCACTTTCTAGAATTCATGTGATGGGAATCAAAGTATTTACTATTTTTCCTGCTTTTATTTATGTTGCATAAATACTTGGAGAGTCATCAATGATATATAAGCAGCTCATATTTTTTTTTCTAAGAAACATTCTTATATTTGAATATACCACTATTTATCCATTCATTTGCTTATGGACATTTGGGGTTTTTCTAATTTTTGACTATTGGGAAAAAAAGCTGGTACAAGCATTTGTGTATAAGATTTTATGTCGATGTATGTTTATCTTCAGTAACTCAGAGTGCAAAGTTTGAGTCATAGGGTAGGTGAATGCTTAACTTAAACAGACTAGCAAATTGTGATCTGAACTAATTATACCTTTTTCTTTTCTTCTTTTTTTTTCTGATCGTGCTGCACAGCTTGCGGGATCTTAGTTTCCCAACCAGGCCTCATCAGTGAAAGTGCAGAGTCCTAACCACTGGACTGCCAGGGAATTCCCATTTTTTTCATTCTTACCAGCAGTGTATGAGAGCTCCATTTCTTCCACATCCTGGTGAATATTTCATTTGTTCATTCTTTTTTTTTTAACAAACATTGTCACTTTATTATATTGTACATATGAGTCTTTCTACATAAATGGGATAAAAGATAACATTCCAGAATATTAGTGTTTTTATTGGGAATGTGTATTTCTTTTTTTTATTATTTGTATTTTTTTATAGTCAATCATTCTTAATTTTAACCCTTTTTGTAAGTTTGTCCAGCTATATAACTGTTGTTTTATTTGCATTTCCCTAAAGATTCATGATGAACATTTCTTCAGATGCATATTTGCTACCTCTGTATCTTTAGTGAAATGTTCATATCTTCTGCCTATTCTGTGAATTTTGGCTATTTTCTTCCTTTCACAAAAGAACAGTGAAACAGCCAAGTTGTATTGGAATTTCACTCATTTTGTGACTTTTTAATTTATGGAATAATTGTTTTTAATACTGGAATAATATGTTCTAATTTTTTCAATTTTTTATGCTATGTGCAATGTAATGGAAACATATACCATATACTTTTAATTTTAATCTGTGTTATTAATGTACTCTCCATCACTTTCTAAGGTCCAGACATTTAATAATACCACAAACCCTTGCTTAGTAGTGTTCGCCCCTTTGCCTGGTCTATCATCATGGGAGTTGGTGGGTTGGAGCAGAACTCTTGGTGAGGGAGACGAGATGGCATCAGGATGAACAGGGTGTTTTTTGAGTCCCAAAGCCTAGCAGGACTGGAAATAAGGCAGTAATCAGACTCCCCAAGCCCTGGGTCAGGCAGCCTGGGTTTGAATCCTGATCCCAAAATATTGTGACTCACAGGCAAATGACCACCCACTCTGGGCCTCAGTTTCCCCCTTTGTAAAACAGGTATAAAACAGGTATAAGTTGTGGCTCTACCAGTGAGCTCTGGGAGGTGAAGAGCTGAAACGTGGCTATACCCGCAACCTCGTTGGACCTAGGCAGCACTAGCCTCTGCCTTCCGTGACATTCCCTGGCCAGGCACCCCTCATTTTCCCCAAAGTCCCTGGGTACATTTGGGAAAGAAATGGGGCTTCTCAGAAGCCACTGACCCACCCACCCCACGCACCCACAAGGAGGCAGAGGCTGTACTGACATCTCAGTGTGGGTTCCCCACCTGGGAATCTCTGGACAACTTGCTAGAGCTCCCTGAGTCTCAGTTTGCCGACTCACATGGAGGTGATGAGGCGCTTACCTTGGTTCCTGTGAGGATTAATAAAAGTAACAAAATACTGAGTACCTAACGGTGCCAGGATTCCAGGGTTTGCTTTATGAACATATTCTCTTTAATTCTCACAACCCAAGATAGTGGGAACTATTATTGTACTGCTGGGGAAATCCAGGGTCAGAATGATGTTGTGGGTTCCCCAAGGTCACACAATGGACAAGTGTCTGATTCAAGATGCTGGATTCATACCCCTAAGTCTAGCTCCAGAGCTGGGGATGTTTAATCCCTTTACCTCAGCACGTGAAGCACTCATCCCTGGGCAGGCACGCACAGAGTTCCAAGGAGTCTCAGCTGCTGTTACCTTTGTTGGAATTATCAACATGACCATTTCCCCACTTACCACCTGCCCTCACAGTTCTCACAGGAATGCCCTTGTCTGTCATTACTAGTGGCTTCCCCAATGGGAGGTTTTTCTCTCAGCTGCAATTGCATTATGTCCAAAGGCCGCACCTTCCTCTCCTTTGAGCACAGCACAGAGCTTAACCCTCGAGAATCAGTGATTCAGGGCTGGGTCTCTCCACTTTCATCAGCGACTTGAGTGACAGCCTCTGATGCCATCTAACATCCCAATATGAGGTTTGACTTTTTCAGGTATTTGTAAACTTCATCCTGGAGGACTAGAGACAGCCCAGTCCAGAGGACCTGGTTCCAGGAGGTGATAATGGAGACCTATGTGCTCCTGGTCTCACTGGGTAACAGCTCACCTCTGCTCCATTCATGGACCTGCTGCCTATTTGGTTCTGTCCTCTCTGTCCAGGACTGGCTGGTTGAGAAGACCACTGGCACGCACCGTCCTTCTTCCCTGCATTCCTCACCATGTTCTGGACCGACGTCCTCTATTCTAACCTTTCTGTCTGCACCAAGGGTCTTTTGGTAAAAAACACAAGTCCTCACCTGAGTGCTCATCACACTCTAACCACATCTGAGGTCCCCACTCCAGATTACACAGAAGGGGAACTGACTAGCCTAGCCTGGTTGGGTCATGTGTCCCCTCAGTCCAGTTAGCAAGGTCATGGGTGATAGGCTGCTTCAGAGAAGAGGGTGAGTCAGGCAGTACTTCTTGAGAATCATTTAGCATCAGTTCATCCAGGGTATCTTCTTAAACCATACAATCCCAGTTAAAACAGGCTCCTGGTGACTTCCCTTGTGGTCCAGTAGTTAAGACTAAATACTTCCAATGAACGGGGTACTGGTTCGATCCCTGGTCGGCGAAGTAAGATCCCACATGCTGCGCAGCATGGCCAAAAAAAAAAAGGTGGGGGTAGCTCCTGAATGCTACACCATTGTCCCTTGTTTCTTAAGGCCTAGACCATGCTCCTGTGCTGCTTCAGGAGATGATTTTAGAGGGTGCACAGATCTGACATAAAGTGGAATGCTTGGAAACCCTGAGAAAGCGATTCTTTTCCCCTGCTCTTTCCCTTGCTGCTGTCAGGAGAAAGTCTTCTTGGTATAGTGCTAGATCTCTATTGCCCACTGTTACTAATATCCCCCTCCCCGTTTTTTATGCCCGAACAGGGACCTGAAACTAATATCCCTTTTTAATAGAGGGGGCACCCGTGAGCATACCCCATGGGGTCCCTGGGACTTCAGAGCATTATTTTGATTTCATTGTATTTTCATGGTAAACTTCCACTTGTCCCAAGTCAAACTGGTTTTCCCAATTAGCAGAGAGATACAAATATTCTTTTTAAGATGCAATCTATATAAGAAAAATAAAATATAGGTCATTTAAAAGAGAATTGTAACACTGGCCACAACCAAGTTCCCGTAAGCACAGATCAGGTGTCAGGTTTGTTGCAGGCACTGTTCAGACTCCATTCCTTGAATTCCAACATCCTGTCCTCAGCAAAGTAAGGAAAATACAGCCACTGAGCGAGTCCCTCAGAAACCTCAAGTTATTCAATGTAGAAGATGTGCCGCCTTTATGAGGTGCCAACCTGTGCTTTCTTTGCTGCTAAAAGTCCTTTTTGTGACCACGCTGCACGGCATGCAAGATCTTAGTTCCCAGACCAGACCAGGGATCGAACCCCTGCCCCCTGCAGTGGGAGCACAGAGGCCTAACCACTGGATTGCTAGGGAATTCCCTAAAAGTCCTTTTTAAAAATGAAATGTAAGTGAGTGTAGATGATAGTTAATGTCCTTTCTGCACCAAATCACCATGTAGATTTTCTGATTTTTAAAAAAATTTTACAGGTCCATGAAATATCAAAATTTGGGAATGACCAAGTCATCCCCTCACACAGATAACCCTTTCTCAAGGATTAAATACTCCAGATCACCTCCCTCTCACATGGCTACCTTCTCCAAGAATGCTGGCCCTACACAGGGCTGTGCACTGTTTCCTCCTCAGTGTAGCACTCAGGAGGCCGAGTCCTGGAGCCATAGCTCCTGGTGAGAATCCCAACTCTGCTTCTCACAGGCTGTATGGCCCCAGGCAAGTTTCTGAACCTCTCCCTGGCTTAGAGTCCTCCTTGACAGAATGGGGTAATATGGTATTTATGTCACAGTACTATTGTTTGTCTAAATGGGTTCATGTATGAAAACTGACCAGTCTGTTACTTCCTGACTGTGCAGGTCTGAGGTGTGATCTCTGTTGCCATCACTGCTCCTGTTGATACCACCATCATCATCATCATTATCCTCATTATCAACATGCCTGAACTTGGCACCTTCTAGAGCAGTGTTGTGAAGCGTTGTAGTTCAATAGTACAGATGCCAGAGACAGCCAACCTGGGTCCCCAACTGAATCAGCTGAATATCAGTTACATACCATTCATCTGTCTCAATTCACTTGTTATTGATAGTTGAGTTGTTTCCAGCTTGGGGATGTTAAAGATAAAGCTGCTGCAGACATTTATAGCTAGTCTTCATGTGGAAATGCGTTTCATTTATTTTGAACTAAGATTTGTGAGTATAATTCCTGAGTCAGATGGTAGGTGAATTTTTTGTTGTTAAGAAACACAAAATTTCAGTTTCATTGACCTTTTCAATTTTTTTTTAGTCTCTATTTCTGCCCTGGTCTTTATTATTTCTTTCTTCTACTAAATTTGGGTTTTGTTTGTTCTTTTAATAGTTCCTTTAGGTGTAAGTTTAGGTTGTTTGAGATTTTTTTTGTTTTCCTGAGGTAGGCTTGTATCACTATAAACTTCCCACTTTGGACTGCTTTAGCTATATCCCATAGATTTTGGATTGTTTTGTTTTTGTTTTCATTTGCCTATACATTTTTTTTTTTTTTTTTTTTGCCACACTGGGCAGCTTGAGGGATCTGTTTCCCGACCAGTGATTGAACTCAGGCCACAGCAGTGAAAGCCTGGAATCCTATCCACTAGGCCACTAGAGAACTCCTGATGTATTTTTTTTTATTTCTTTGATTTCTTCAGTGATCCATTGGTTGTTAGCATATTATTTAGTCTCCATGTGTTTGTGTTTTTTGCAGTTTTTTTTTTCTTTTTCTTGTAGTTGATTTCTAGTCTCATAGCATTGTGGTTGAAAAAGATACTTGACAAGTAGGAAAAGTTATGGTCAGAGAAGGTTCTTTGAAAAGAAAAATAAAATTGATAAATCTTTAGCCACACTCATCAAGGAAAAAAGAAGTCCAAAATCCATAAAATCAGAAATGAAGAAGAAGTTTCAACTGACACAACAGAAATACAAAGGATCATGAGATTAATATCAACAAATGTATGCCAATAAAATGGACAACCTAGAAGAAATGGATTAATTCCTAGAATGTACACTCAAGACTGAACAAGGAAAAAATAGAAAATATGAATGGACCAATTAACCAGTAATGAAATTGAATCAGCAATTTTAAAAAACTACCAACAAACAGAAGTTCAGGACCAAATGGCTTCACAGGTGAATTCTACCAGAAGTTCAGAGAAGAGTTAACACCTATGCTTCTCAAACTATTCCCAAAAACTTACAGCAGGAACACCTTTGAACTCATTCTACAAGGCCAGCCTCACTACAATACCAAAACAAGACAAAGATATCACAAAAAAAGAAAATTACAGGCCAATATCACTGATGAATATATATGCAAAAATCCTTAACAAAATATTAGCAAACCAAATCCAACAATACATTAAAAGGATCATACACCATGATCAAGTGGGATTTATTCCAGGGAAGAAAGGATGGTTGGATATCCACAAATCAATCAATGTGATATACCACATTAACACTTTGAAGAATAAAAATCATATGATCATCTCAATAGAATGCAGAAAAAGCTTTTGACAAAATTCAACACCCATTACAATAAAAACTTTCTAGAAAATGGGCATAGAGGGTACATACCTCAACATAATAAAGGCCATATATTATAAGCCCACAACTGGTATCATACTCAACAGTGAAAAGCTGAAAGCATTTAATCGAAGACAAGGATGCCCACTCTTGCGACTTTTATTCAACATAGTTTTGGAAGTCCTAGCCACAGCAATCAGAGAAGAAAAAGAAATAAAATGAAATTCCAAGGGATTTCAGAGCTTGGTGGCAGGAACTAGTGGTAGAGACCAACATATTTTTAATGTATTTTACAGTATATTAAAACACACCACCTCAGCCATAAAAAGGAATGAAATTGGGTCATTTTTGGAGACAAGGATGGACCTAGAGAGTGTCATACAGAGTGAAGTAAGTCAGAAAAGCAAATATCGTATAATAACGTATATATGTGGAATCTAGAAAGATGGTATCGATTTTATTTGCAAAGCAGAAATAGAGACATAGACATACAGAACAAATGTATGGATACCAAGGGGAAAAGGGGTGGGGAGGGAGGAATTGGGAGACTGGGATTGACACATATACATTATTGATACTATGTATAAAACAGACAACTGATGGGAACATACTGTATAGCACAGGGAACTCTACCTAATGCACTGTGGTAACCTAAATGGGAGGGACGTCCAAAAGGGAGGGGATATCTGTATGGATGATTCATTTTATTGTCAGTGGAGGCTAACACAACATTGTAAAGCATACTCCAATAAAAATTAAACAAAACAAAAACACACACATACCAGAAAATATCTCTAGCACCCTGGAACTGGCACAATGGTCATATGAGTGGTCTGGCACTCCAGGCAAACAACTACCCTTGGGAAAGTGTTCCATGGCTTCTCCATGGAACATCTTTCTGATGTATCCTTGTCACTCTCTCCTCTCCATTAAATATTTGCTCGAATATTATCTGCAGCATGAGAACATCTCTGACCCCTCTATTTCCTACTGAAATCCTCAGACTCCACATGCCTGCATTCCTCATTGCTGCTCTTTTATATTTCCACACCACCTGTCACCTTATAATTACTATAATATAGAATATTTTCTTTGTGATTTATTGACTATTCCTTCAATAAAGAGTTGGATTGCAGGCTGCATGAGAACACATTTCTTTGGTTGCTGATGTATAACTCTTATCTAGGTGAGCCTCTGAGCCAGATGAGATGTTTAGTAAATGATTATTGATGGAATAAAACATGATGTCATAGCTTTCCTTCCATTCTTCTACCTCTTTCTGCTCTCACCTTACTATTTCTTTTTCTCAAGTTTGTTTTCCCAGGATTGTCATGAATGGAAAGGATTCACACTTTGTGGAAACAAGAATTTCATGGTAACCAAGTCTCCAGCATAACCATGGACTCAACTTAATTCTCTCACATTTTAGGACTCAGTGTCCTTCATTTATCACCCATTGAGACTTACCTCTTCTCAGGTTTCACAAGTCCTTTTCTCTTCTAGTGATTTCCACAGTGCTTAATGGATGACTCCATTAATCAACATTAATAACTTTCTGTAATTTGCTCACTCTACAAATATTTTTCAGAGATATTCTTGAGTCCCCTTGCAGACACTGCCACTGCATTTACAGGTGAAATAATAATCACTGCCCAGCAAGGAGATGAGATCGTGGAATTAAAAACCTTTATCTCTTGTTTGGATGCCCACTTTTTACCCCATACACAGATGCCGATATTTTGGCCATCCTGGCAACAAATGTAAATTTGGTAAGTAAGCACTATTCCCAGATACATGTCATATTCTTAGAAGAAATAGACCATATCTCAGAAAATTCAATAAGAAATGTTATATGGGGGGGAAAATCTGCTTTCTGGGATTGAAACACAAATACTGACAAAGAGATACAAAAGGGATGCATTCTGAGGGACCAAGAGGCATGGTGCCACCTCATCTACTTGCTTTAAGGCTGCCTAGTATCCATATTTCCTCTACAACCTGTCTGGATTATACTTACTCTTATTGCTGACCAAACACATTGAGCCTCACAATGTCCATTCTAAGAGCTTTGCTCCCCACGAAGAGTAAGAAGACTGTGTTTTATTCAGTTTTTGAGTGGACATTTATGTCAATTGTTGGATATGCATTTTTTATCTTTTGGGAGCATGATTTGCAAATGAAATCTGTAAGAGTGTTTTACCAAGATGTCTTTGATGAGTGCAAGTGTTAAAACTTCCTGTCAGATTTCGTGAAAGCAAGGCACACTTAAAAAACATGTGAATAAAAGATTGTAAGATACAAAGAGCAAGATAATCAGGGATGTAAAGAATCTCAAAGCTAGAGGTTATCTTGTATGATGGCATGTTTTATATATACATAATATCTTCATTATTATTAATATTTTGCCTCCTCTCTCTGGAAAGATCTCCGATGATTCAGTGGTGAATCTGTAGGTATCTAGTTCATTATCTCGAAGTCATGAGACAGTTTGTTCTAACAAATCATATCCTGATCACACACACTGACAGGTATCTCAATCACTTTGTGGAGAGTGAAGTTTTCTTGATTACACCTTATTTGTGCTCACATAGAACCTCTCTAATCAGGGGAAATTTAAGAGGCTTTGTTATCTAAAAAAAACTGCAGTTTGTAAAGGGCAATGTGTACAATAATGAGAGCAAGTTTAGAATTTGCAGGCCCTTGTCTCTTTAAATAAAACAAGTTTTGTTACGCCTCATACAAAACAAGTAATGCTGCTTGTATATGACTTAAATTCATTTCAAAGGTTTTATATAAACTATTTCCATTTTTTTCCTTTTTATAATTCTCTAGTATTTTTACTAGTAATTTGTACTAGTACTACCAATTTGCTAGTTTTGTTCAATTTTATAGAATGCTATATAAATTAAAATACTGAGAAAAAATTTTAATTTAATTAATTTATTTATGGCTGCATTGGGTCTTTGTTGCTATGCACGGGATTCTCTAGTTGCGGCGAGTGGAGACTACTCTTCATCGTGGTGTGCGGGCTTCTTATTGTGGCGGCTTCTCTTGTGGAGCACAGGCTCTAGGTGTGCAGGCTCAGTAGTTGTGGCTCGCAGGCTCTAGAGTGCAGGCTCAGTAGTTGTGGTGCACGGGCTTTGTTGCTCTGCAGCATGTGGGATCTTCCCGGACCAGGGCTCGAACCTGTGTCCCCTGCATTGGCAGGCGGATTCTTAACCACTGCACCACCAGGGAAGTCCCATCACTGAGAAAATTTTTACCCAATCCATACAGATATGATTTTTCATGTGTAGGTTTGATTAAATTATTTCCAATTTGAAAATATTTTTTTGATCTCAAGTTTTAATCTATTTTAATATTTCATTACATTATATATTTTCTGTCCAAATTGATAATCAAGTTTAATATATAAATGCCTCCTTAAATTATTCAATATGTACATATCAGTAAGGTGTGTTTCCAGGCTCACTACTATGTACTGTTAACCCCACTACGATTTTCTCTGCCAGAATAAGCTGTTGGATATATATATAATTTCTTCTAATAAATACTTTTGTTATCCCTTTAAGTAAGCTTTAACTAATAAGCTCTGAAACACTAGCATTTTGTTTGAAATACATAAAGTAAATTACCTCTTTTAGTATTTTTATTCATAATAGCCTTTATAGAAACTTGCTTTATATCTATTTTTATTTAGAGGTGGTTTTTATAATTTCTGGTTTAATTTCTATGGTTTTTAATTTTCTTCAGTTCTTTCAC